TTTATTAATTACTCTTATATGAGATTCTAGAAAAAAAATATATCTAATATAGTTATTCGAATATAAAAAATCGTACCAGAAGAAGTAAATGTTGCATTACTCTATATTTTTAATAAGACTTTGACAAATTTTTCCTATTGACTAAGATTATAACACTAAGCCGACAAAGGAAATTAATTTAGTGATGAAAAAATGATTTTTGTCTAAGAGATAACCTTCTACTTCTAATTACAAGTATCATATTATCAGTCAAGTCTTTGTTCTTATATCTTTTACTATCAATATTTTCCAAAGCAGAAATAACCATTTAATAACAATAAATAACGGTTTGGTGGTAGTAACAACGATGAAAAAAATATTTGCTTATTTAGTTGAAATTGAGTTTAACGTAATCATTACACAATCGAAGAAAAAACATGATAAATCTATCATTTTGAATAATAACTCAGATGAATTCATTTTTTTGTAAATAAACGCCGAATTCTAACCAACAAACTCTAAATAGACACAATATTCTAGACCTCTTAAATTCAATTCGAATATATTTTAACCATTTATCAAATATGTTTTGTTTATTGACTGATTGAAAGAAACATATCAGTAAATTAAAGTTTCTTGTCATATGGATGTTATTATTATTTTAATAGTAGTATTAGATTTCAAGTCAACATTTTATCATCCGACTTTCTACAAATACTTTGTTATGGTTGAAAATTTTTTTTTCAGAATTTTTTACTCATCATAGAAAGGATAAATTATTAAATAGTAATTATTTCAATTTTTTTTTCAAAAAGTAAGATGCCAAAAATTCATCATTAAAGCAGAATTTTGGTTTCTCTTTTTACATATAGTTAGAAAGAGGTTCACGACTTAATCAAGAATATACACGGAATAAGTTCGGATCTCTTGTACTTGGCATAACAGAAGAAAAAATATACAATAATCTGCGGAAAAAAAAATAATAATCCAAAATATTAGAAGATATAAAGAATTTTTCATAATAAATGAGTAATGCCTTAGTTATCAGGAAATACATGGTGCGTTCAAAAACTTAAATCGAGTCGATCATTTCTAATTTCTTAGAGTGTTTTTCTTATCATATTTGGTCAAGTAAATTTGATCTTTTATTTACATGTAATAAAATGAAAAACTATTTTAACTAAAATGATCTTGATGATCGAATCAATTATCAATTACATTTTAGCAACATGCGATTAATTAGTGTTTAATTCGAATTCGTCCTCGAAAAAGTAAAGCAAAATATTAAACACAAGTAAACATTGATTTTATTGAATTGTATGCAAATTTACGTCATCGATAGTTGATGCTGCTAGAGTATTTATGCTGAATAGAATAGCACGACAAGGAATCGGATGATATTTAATTGTGTTCTCTAGTTCTCCATCTTTTGTAATCTGAAGTAGATGTCCAGTCTCATAGTCGAATATGAGTCATTCATCACAAGGAAGCGAACAACAACAAAATGGTAGTTTATGAATCCAAGTAATATTGATATCGAATGACCAGATAGAATCGAGCGTCTTTGCATATCTCAATTCCATGCGTAGCAATTTATTCAATACATTTGCAACCATCAGAGCAATATTTTCATTATTGTCAACAGTACTAAGAATAATGTCATCTTTGCTGCATGTAGGAGAATATTTCCTTTCTTTAATCAACTAGATTTCTGGCAATAATGCGAATTCCATATGAGATTACACACATTCATTTGTACTTGCAACAAGAACTGTGTTGGGGCATGTACACGATAACCACTGTTGTTCTTTGATCGTGTGCACATTATCAACTGCCATTGTGTTTTTGTTAATGAGAAAGATGTTTTTTTTCAGTACAATGAATCAATCTAATGTTAATGACCGACAAACACATTGCCTGAATTGCATCTTATGACCATAAGGTTTGCTTGGATATGTTAAGAGTGCAACCAAATAAACATAAATTTGGCTCTTGATGCATTCATGAGTATCAATCATGGACAGTAAATGGTCGAAAACTTCCTTTTGGACGACGACTTATTCTGCAGATAGATGAAATAGTTGAGAGATAAAGTTCATGTTCAGTCGTTGTCTCTATAGAAATGATCATCTCATCTATTAATAATGGACGAATATTATTACTAAGAAATGTTTGTTTAATAATCTTCATATTTGTTTCGAGTTAACGAATAGTTGATGTCGATCAATCAATATCTGGACGAATTGGGTGTGGATGGTTGTGGATGTTGATGGTGTGTATGTGGGTGTAAATGCGGATGTGGATATTCTTTTATCTCATACTCACACCTACACCCGCAAATCATTATTGTTCGCAGTCATTACTACCTTCTATGTAAATGCGTACTTACTGACAAATAATGTGTGCATGTTCTTTCATTTCCTATTCCTACGTGGCAATTTTTTATAGTCAGCAAACTTTATATTACCGAGTGTAACCATCGATCAGACAGCGAATGCAGTAGTCATAATATGATTCACTTGCGGCAAGTAAGTGTATAAAACAGATAAAAGATCCCATCAGTATACTTCTTTTAGGCTGAAAAATAATCGAGACAAAGTGTCAAGCGAATAGCAAGTTTATACGATTTACCAGGCGAAATTCTTCTCAACACTTGTAGTTATTTGAATCCAACAGATGTTCGCAAAGTATTTTTGAATTACACCGATCGAACATTTTCCTCCGCGTCTAAATATGAGTGTGGATGTCGGTTGATAATGTAGTTGTGGAATATGGGTATTGATTGTTGGTGCGCGTCTTCTCCTCGGTAACACTCACACAAATACACACACATGTTATTTATTATTTCGACGACTAATATACTCTGTCCTATACAAGAAAATACTGAAGTTCATTTTTTTTCAATACTATTTTCAAATTAATAAACTTTATCTAATTCAATCTTTCTAAAAATTCAAAAGAATCATTTAAATAATATTTTATATCTTCTCTATTTTACTTGTTCATATCCATATGAAAACAAATAGATGATGAACATGAAATTCGTACATCAGTTACCCATTTTATTTCCAATTAGTTTCTCTTCAAATGCTATTTCTTTATAAAACGATGCGTTTCATTCTTCCTTTTTGACAGTGCAAAGTATTAAAACTATTAAATCAAGCTTGAGATGAAGTTGTTCTCTCTTTTGTTGCAAAAAAAAGACATGCAGATCCAATGTATCCATTCATCTCTGATTCAGTCATGGGATCAGCACTATTCTTAGCTATGATCTTGTTTAAAGCTAGAGAATATGACAAAGTCACTTATGATATAACAATAAATAGTATTCATCTTTATTGTTGTTATTTTTATCAAAAAACAAAAAAAAACGAAGAACAAAAAAATAACAACTTAATGTTTAGATGGTGGTGGAACTTTATATTCTTCAGCAATTTTGAGCACAGTTTTTGGATCAATAGTGCCCTTTGCAGCTAATTCCATAATTTTATCTAGGCAATCTAAACGTCGTTGAGTGATTTCTTGTTCATCCTAGGAAAAAAGAAAAAAAAACATTCGAAATTGACCGTAAAAGAGAACGATATTTTGCTTTCAAGTTGAAGAGTCACTGCTAGTAAGCATCTGACAAGCTTCAATAGTGATATAACAATGGTGAGAGACTAGAAATGGCTATGTTCCCACCTATGGATTGCGTCGAAAATGAGTTTTTTAGTAAAAAACTGAAGATCTATTGTCAAGATATTTCGTTAATATTTAGAGCAATGCAAGGCAATGTTTCAGGTAATTAATATATGTAAAAGTGAGCTATTCACAAAGTAGTCAATGCTTTCAATGAAGAGGTAACATGTTGAATAGTTGGAGGATTAGTTCATTAATTAAGAACTATATAGCTTTCAATAGAAAGAATAGGATAAAGTAAGTTAGCAAACAAGTGTTTATCCATGAACACAAATTACTATAAATTGTTAGACTGAATCAGTTATAAAATTATACGGATATCAGATATTTTGTGTTATGGAAGATAGTCTATAGATTCTGATGAATTTCAAAACTGAAGATTATTAGCATTGTGCTTGATCAGATTTTGTAAGATAAAAATAACATTTTTATAAGGAAATGGATTGTTAATAACTATATCACCATCGCTTGTGAAAATGGAAAATTAATATTGTTATGATTAGAAAAAAGCAAATGTCTCATATAATCATTGTTCGAATAGTTCAAATATTTGTATCTGTTGCTTTGCTATCGATTGATCACGCATATGAAAATAAAAAAGTTGATTGAAGAGTTAATAAAATTCTATATTATAAAAATATAGTATTTTTCGAGACTATTAGTCTGACAGATAAAATTCGTGTAAAAATTCTTAAGACTTTTTGTGATCTAGAATTTTTTATAATTACAAAAATCAATCATGAAAACGTCCTTGGAAGGACATTTGGTCTTAAAAGAATATATTACATGTGGACCAAAAAAATATGCTCACTTCTACTTTTTCGGCCATTTGAGAATGTGAATGAACGGGTAGGTGTATACTACATGAACACATACATATATATATATATATGTAGCGGACGAGACGATATGAATTTTTCTTTGTTTGCTCAAAATGAACGATTAGCGACCGAGGTCAAGTAAAAAAAAAGTATGAGAAGAGAATACAAGTTATGATTGGTAAATAATTTTCGAAGCTAGTACATTTAAAATCATTCATATTTTTGAACCTTTAAAAAATATTAGACTCAACCTTACCGGTAAAGTTGATTCATTTGTATCAACTTCTTTTTTTTAATAGATAATTAATCTCCTCCATAAATTTATCAAGTGCTATTCTTTCATCACCTAAATCAAATTTTTTTTTTCATTATATTCAAGACAAATATTAATAAAAGGTCACCATCTTCATCAGCATCGGACAAAAGATTCGTGATGTCAGTTTGTGACCACTTTGACCAAATCTTTTTGATAATCTGTTGTAAAAAAAAACAAAAGAAAAAGACTTTGATATTATTTATATGTTATGATGTTCTGCACATACCACTCTCATCCCAACTAATCATACCATCTTCGCTTTCTTTGCTTGCATCATGATAATAATTACGAGCTAAAGCTAACTTTTGTTCAAGTGTAAAAAAATCCAATGACATATCTAAATGACCAAGCAATATTTAAATTACATTGAATTTATCAACTCTTCATAAAAGAAAATTAGTATTCGTTTATTTGATGTTTTCCTAATAAGAAGTGTTCCACTGTATGATGTTAAATATCACACAGCGCAATACTTTTTATGAAGAGAAACATCAACTTTAATATTAATAGTAGAATACCAGCTAAACGAATACCAAGAAAATTTGTCGATCACTTCGTCGTAGGAAAGATAAAAACATTAACACTTTTAGTTTGTTCCTCATTTGACAGTGTGTAACAGTTGAATACATAGTGACGACTATTATCATCACTATCTCGTACTAAATTCTCGACTATATGTGTATTTTCTACTTCGAAAGAAAAAGTTAACAGAACGAAAAAGTTGTGCACGTTCAGTACGTAACATATTACGATTGGCGAAAAGAAAATAATTACTATTCATGTCAACAAGCGATGAATTCGATTGTATGACGAATAATTGAAGAAAGAGAATAGTCAGGAATTGACAGTTTTCGCTGTTCAAAAGAGGGCAGATATGTTTATCATTCTATGCAAAAATTTAACAACCAAACAGTAGACCGGTGTTGATCAGTTCTCATTTGATATTTTTAAAAAGATACTCTGAAAAATTTATAGACTAGAATTTAAGTTAAAAAAAAATCATTTGATAGAGTAAACAAAGTTGTTTCAATATACGCATGTAGGTGTCTATACATAGTTCAATTGGAAAGTTGTAACCGTTTTTCTAAGATCCAAAAATCGATCAATTGACCATTGTCACTCTGGTATGGATTGTCATAGCTAGTAGATTTTGACTATGTCAAGTCAAGTAGTGATATTTATTTATTTATTTTATAACGATAGTGAATAGCTAGATGAAAATTTGAATCTTTTATATCTATTTTGTATTGAATTGAAGAGCCGATTGAATGGTGTCGTAGCTAATTTTCACAAGAGAAGAAAGAAAAGCGAGAAAATGGAGGAGACGATCATAACAAGGAGAGGAAAAAAGGTGATAACAAAACATCCCAATAATCTTTCTCAAAAACATTAACTAATTTATTATTTAATTGAAATCTATATCAAGTATGCATTGATCAAAACAATAATTTCATCTCGATTGATAATACATAGATAGTGATCATTATCTTTTAAGAAGATGCACAAACTTTACTTTAATATTTTTTCAAAGTTCGTTTATCAACTTGTCTTATTAAAAACCTAACAAAAAAGAAATCTTTCATTTGATTTTGTTTAAACAAATAAAATTTACATAAGTGGTCTATCGATGATTGATTTTTCATCATCAACATGTTCTCGACAAACAACATTAACAGATTGTTTTGTTTTTTTGCAGAATCTTGTTTAACAAAAATAGTTTTTTTTTTCTACTGTTGAATCACCAACTATGTTTGCTTTATCTTCTGCTATATTGAAAATCATTCGAAAATACTCAATTAATTCAATTAAAAAATAAAAATGAGTAAAACTAACTTTTATTCTCATCATCAGAAAGTTCGTTTCTTTTTCCAATTACAAAATCTTGTTCCATTAGTTGTTGATCAGATGAATACTTGGTGTTGCTTCAGAAAAATCAACATCTTCATCATCTTCAATATTTTCTAATGGTGATCGTGTTGTTTCATCATTTGTTGTTTTTCTCGTTGTTTGTTCACCACCTCGAGTAACTTCATCATCACTTTGCTCAATAAATCCAGTTGTTATTTTTCTAATAGATGACAGAAAAAAAAAGAATTATTATTGAAGAAAAATGAGAAAGACAGGTCAATATTTTTTTGAATAATTTCCTAGGTAATCACACAATCGAATAAGTTCTTGATGAAAAGTTTTCAAAATGATATTTTCAAGTCAAAATTTTCTAGAATGTTTCCTTAGAGAGTTATAAGACTTCTCCTGAAACTTCTGATTTGAGTCGAATGGTGATATATTTTAGGTTCAAATTGATCTTACACTGGTATATTAATATTTCCCAAATGTCAATTTCTTCATTACATTGAATGCTGATTGACGAATTTCATAAAGATTGAGAAAACAGTGTTATATCAATCCAAAACTAAGAAAAAAAACCTATTCAACTCAGTATAATGAATTATCACAGAAGCCAATAGGCTGAAACCGTAGGTCTTAGGAAGTCTTCTAACTCTTGAATGGAACAATCTAGGAAAATTTGGCTTCAGAATATGGTTGGTCAATCGTTGACGAATCAAAATTTTGATGACTCAGAGTTTCCTTCTCCCGTACATTGGCAAAAACCCCAGTCTCTATGATGTTCTTATCGAAATAATTACTTTTCATTTGAAAGAATTCTATTTGATTGATCTATTGAATCTTCATTGTCACTCTCTTTTTTTACGCTTAACACGAGGTGTTAGAAATTTCGTATAATCAGTTGTTGTTATTGGTGTTACAGCTGTTGCTAATTTCCAATGACGAAGTTGATTAGCTCCATCGTCACCACTACCAACATCATGTAGAGATTCATATTGACATCGTGCAACATCCATACGATTAAATAAATTAAATTTACTTTAAGTTGTTGCAATAACCTATGAAAATAAATTCCTTAATGGAATCTATAGAAAAGTTTTCTTAAGAAAAAGTTAGTGGCGGAGCCAGGATTTCGGTCTAAGTGGAGCTGAGCTCCATATTTGTTACGATCGGATTGTTCCCATTCGATCGTAAGATGGAGAGGAGATACGCTTTCAAGTATAGTGGTAGTACAGCTACCCGGTAAGCAGAAGATGCAAGGTTTGATTCCTCGCGAAAGCGGTTTATCTGTTGTTCCGTTCTGTTGTCATACCATCACGATGCTTTACCGGTTATAATAAGAACATAACAATATTCATTGTCCAAAGCGTCTGCAGTAGTAGAAGATTTTTTTCGGAAATTTTCAAACTCGATGCACTTCTTTGCTTCCTAATCAGAGATGTCCATCGCGGCTCGCAATCTACCGCTGCCGCGCCGCGATGATTTTTTTAAAATTTTCTGCTTCCGCGTCATGACGAATTTCCAAAAAGTCTGCCGCTGCCGCGATGGTACTCCAAAAAAAGTTTCGAATTTCATTGCTGTGAATGTATTGAAATACAATTATTGTCACTAATCGATGAGATTCATTGAGTCTTAGAGTGTTACGTTTGTGGGCACTCAATTTTTGGCAAATTCATGAAGTTTTGGCAATATCTTCTAAAAGGAGCCTACTGCTGACGCGATGATATTTTCAAATTTCTCCGCCGCCGCGATGATTTAAAAAAAACATGCCACTGCCGCGCCGCTACCCGCCACCGCGGCAGCGGCAGCGCCGCGATGAACATCTCTGCTCCTAATATCCTCTTTAATCACTTATTCATCATGTATTTTTTATATATAAATCAAAATATGACTAGTTTTTATTTTAAATTTATTTCATAATAACGTGTTTGAATAGTAAACTGGTATTAGGTATAGCTGCTCGATCAATAATTCGAAATCTGAAAAAAAATAAAATAAAATAAATTATATTTCGAATGAAATATATTTATATACTTAGCATCATCCTCATTAATTTTTCATCAAATATTAACATCAATAATATTTAATCAATATCGATATACTAAGAAATATATAAAAAAATATTTATTTTTTCGTTGGATATAAATAAGAAAAATTCATTTGTTCTCGATCAAATAATTTCTTCTTTTCTTCTGATGACATAACTTTTTCGAAATAAAATTCTAAATAAAAAAGAAGAAGAAATTCAAATAGAAATGATTTAATAAAAAGTTAAGATAAAACCTGGATTATCTTGTGGTTTACCTCCAGCTCTGTCAATTGGATACGCTTTCTCACCAAGTCTTTGGTGATTAATCTTATTTTTTCTTTGCTTCAACTTCAGCACTACGACGAATATATGTTAAATTAAAAACATCAAATTTTTTTTCTAATTCTTAATTAATAAAATAAATAAATTTTAGTTCGAATGTTGTAGGTTTATTTTGTTTTCTTACTTATGCTTGTTGCTTTTGTTCAGGTGTTGCTTTTTCAAGTAAATCTTTAAAATGAATTGAACGATATTAGTTACAATGATCTAGATTTAGTTTTATATTTTTCCATTTATAATAACATTCAAATCTTGGTCAAACTTCTTCATTAACAATAGCTTCATATGGAAATTTTCATCTAAAAATGAATGGACAAATAAAAGATTGATTTTTTTTAATGAATAAAATTTCAAAAAACAAAACACATTTTACTTATTGATAGTTGCTTTTTGTTCTATATCATTTCTAAATTGATATTTGATATTTAATACATCTTGATTTAATAGTAAGATAATCGGGAAATTCAAGTAAATTGCTTGAGTAAATCTGAATACTAAAAATAAACAATAAGAATTAAATAAAAATGTTCCTTTCCCATTGTTTTAATTTACTTGATCACGATTAGTGTTTAAATCAATTTCATCCAGATCAACTTTAATATCAAACATCGATCGTTTAAATTCTTCCTCTTCTTCACGAGATTTCATGTCTAATACGTAATAATTTTTCCTTTGATATTTAATGGTCGCAGAAGTAAATATTAATTATTTTAAATAATATCAAAACTAATTGACTCAATTTACTATATGATATATCGATTGCAACTTGTTGATTATTGACTCTTATTCTTTCTCTAAGATTTTTCTATATTTAAAATAATATAGAATTTAAAAAACAGAAGACAATAGATATTTGACATAGAAAAACTTCATCTATTCATAAGCCAGATCGTGATTGAGCATTACTATTTCAATAAATTGATAAAGTAAATACTTAAATCACGAAACTAGAAAAAAAGATAGATATTTCTTATGATATAATTCATACTTTAATAATCAACATATCATCAAACTCTTTGCCAACTCTACTTTGATTGTTTTATCAATATTTAATTTCGATATATTCGTATAATTCGTAATCATTAGATATTCTATGTAGCATTAAGTCCTTTTTTGAATATTGAAGATCATTTTTCATATAGAGAAGATGATATCGACCAAAAACGTTTTTGTTTAGTATGAATAGAAATGTGAATTGTCTCATCATTACATTGAAAACATGATCTTAGAATGTACTCATTATGTATTGGAACGAAAAAGTAGAACCGACGTTTTTTATCGATTCTAATTAAATTCGACCAGTTATATACTTTGATATTTACTTTCTTCGTGTTTCGGCTACTAATAAAAGATATGAATAGTCACAAATATTCGTATTTTTGACAGACTTAAATGAATACGGCGAGAGAAAGAGAGAGATACATCATTCTGACTCTAAAAATACCGTACTAAGTTACAGACGCTAGCATCTATGAACTATGTTGTAAGTCTATTAGCCTTCATTGTTGAGTTCCCATCGAAATGTTATCAAATTTTAGAAAATCTAAAACTAATATACTTTTCATTCTTTCTTATGTCATCAATAGTTTAACTCAAATTCAAATAGTAGCTTGAATAACCAAACTAAAATGATTGATCATCATCTTTTCATCGATCTTCTTGAAAAACTTAGATATGCCACTAATCAAAATGGTACATAGACATTTGAGCCTACGACAGTTGAGCACCGACAGTTGAGCCTTCACAGATGAGCCTCTTAACACTTGAGCCCTTGACATTTGAGCTCACAATAATTGAGCCTCTAACCACCTGAGCCTTGTGACGTTTGAGCCTTCGAATACGGATGATGAATTTGCATTTTTTAAAATTATTTAACTCAAAAATAGATCTAAAAAAATTAAATTTTATATAAATTTAAAAAAATTGATTATACAATTGAATTTGCAAGAAATTCAAATGTAGCAAATGCCAAGAGCGAAATGCCAACCCCTTGTTCCCTTCTATAGAACTATATTTTCGACAACTAAAAAGAGTTTAAGTTGACTATATATGGTGTGACTATGGGTGTAAGTTGTAGTATTTCGGTATAGAGCGTGCGATTTGGATGTTTTGTTCTGCTCATAACCTATTTATACTCAAACCTTAAGGCATACCCACATCAAAACTTACATTCACACGAAGCACTTACGCCCACACACATCCTATTTATGTATCTTACATTTAAATTTTTAATTCAATCGTAAAATAAATTTATATTCATATTAAAATAAACTTTTTTAAAATTTAAAATTTAATTTTTTTTGGTTTATTTTTGAGTTAAATAATTTTAAAAAATGCAAATTCATCATCCCTATCGAAAGCTCAAACGTCAGGAAGCTCAGGTGGCTAGAGACTCAACTGTCGCCAGCTCAAATGTTAAGAGCTCAAGTGTTAAGAGGCTCATCTATATAGGCTCAACTGTCGGTGCTCAACTGTTGTAGGCTCGAATGTCCTGTTACCAATAGAAATTGATCATAGCCTTATTTAACAAAGTATGTTTTTGTTGTTAATCATCTTTATAACTTTCTAAAGTTAAATCGAAGAAAATATGTTAATCATTCAATCAAGTAATGATTTTCTACTCTGTAAAATGGTACTCCTAAAAACGACTTTTTACAGTGTTCTAGAATCTGAAAGGTAGATTGTTAGCTTTTTCAAAAATCTTTATCTCATAATTCATCTATCGAACTTTAGCATGATATTGATTTGATATAGAAGTTTACTAGCGATTGAAACCACTATTCAGATTTGACTTAAATGCTTGTCATCTTATAATAAAGAATCAAAAAAAAGTTGTTGATATATTTTAAATTTATTGAAACTTTATCCCAAGAACTCAGAGTAATTACAAGTTTTTTTCTCTTACACTGTATGTAAAGAAATGTTTGTTCGCAAAATTATGAAAAGTAATGTATTTAATACTTCTATGGATTCTCGAGGAAAATGTAAAGACTTCCATAAATTACTTAGTACCTTTCAGCGCTCGTATTCCAATTTTTTATTTATTTTTTGAGCCTCCCCTAAATTTACTTTGCTCCGCCGCCTATGTTTAGATGGTTATTATAGATAGAAAAATTCGAAAAAAATTCCAAACTGATAAATTATTTAAACAGTTTAGTTCACACAAGTGGTCGAACTATGATTGATAAAATCAATATAAGATTTTAAGAGCTATCCTAAAAGGTAGTACCTAGAGATTCTCTACGACTATCCTACAAGAATATCTATAAGTCATCAAAGACTATCCTTTTAAGATGTATCCGTAAATCTTCAAAAATTATCGCACAGAAGCATCTATAATTGTGTAAGTTTTATTGTTGAATGGCTTCTATAACTCTTTAAGATATATCCAAATATAGTCACCATATTTCTTCAATACCTATCCAATTTAGTATTCATCAATATCGAAGATTTATTTAGATATAGTCTCTGTAACACTTCAAGAATTGTCTAACAAGTTGTTCCTATAACTTTAGAAGAGTTTTCTAGATATGATTGTGTATCCTTTCCGAAGCTTGTCTGTGATAATATCTATAGTTTCACAGTGGCAAATTTCGATGAAACCTACTAATATATTCAATGACATTCCTGTATGTCATGTATATTGATCTTAAAAGACCGTTATTTGTATTGCTATTATTTCCAAAACTTTTTGAGATTATTTTCATTGATACTGACAAGAACTTAGAGATAATCTATTGATGGACGGATATTTGTAGACCTCGATTAGTTTTGAGTAATAGATCGAAAATGAGATCTCTTTGTAATGATGAACTGTTTGAATAATGAAGCATTAGTGTTTAGTATATTGTGCTGCATATCTTATGCTTTTTATCTTCGGATTATAGATTAAAAACATGATTATGTTTCTTGAAAAACAAAAACTAATATCTTTGACGCTTTCAGATGTGTATTAAAGAAATAATCCTTGGTTTAGATGACTTTCTAATAATATGACAAGACCTTTTCACTTTATGTAATCAGAAAATAACTTTTATTTTTTTTTGTGTTATCTCAACAATATATGTTTGTCTGCACTACGTGAGATTGACTAAGTATAATTTTATTTATTAACTAGGATCGTGTCTATAATAATAGAATACTAAAACAAAGTGATCTACACCTTTTTTCCAACATTTTATAATCATTTTCGTTCTTTCTTTTTTTTTGTTTATTTTCATATATATTAAAATAAGGATATAAATCTAAACAATACATATTTCTCTATACTAACATTTAATTTTGTTCATGAATGAGAATATTCAACTTTATCAAGTAGTGTGTTCTTTTCTTTAGCTAAGATTAAGATATCATCAATAAAAAGAAAAAGGTATTTCTTTAAAAATATTTTAATAATAAGAATAATAATATAATTGTATAGATTATAAATAAATGTGAATTAAACAATAGTATATAAAAAAAAACATAAAGAAATAGAAGAAATGAAATCTATTTTAGTTTCTACTCTTTTCATTAGTTATTATTTTCTTATAAATAAAAGTAAACTTATATTATAGATGATATTTTCTTTCTCTAATTCTAATCATAATTCTACTTGTAAAAATTGACAATGTTAATTATATACATAAAATAAAATTATATTAAATTTTTTGTTTTTTTAAAATATTCTCATATAGATTAAATTAGACTATTCGATTGATTTATTCTATACAAATATGTCTATAACAAAATTTTATCTCATATTTTAATTGATAATAATCTGAATATATTTTGATNAAGGGTCGGGAATTTTTTCAGAAAATCAGGGGGGTTTCCAATTTTTGGTGAGGGAAAAACCCCCCCCCCCCCCTCCCCCCCCCCCCCCCTAATTGGCAAGCCTGGTGTGGGTGTAGGATCTGGGTTTAGTTCTCGTGTGAAATATCAGCCGTCCTAGCATCCACACGCAGATCCGTGCAAATTGGCTAGAAAAATTGTTATAATTTTCACTTAGTCATTTATTTAGCATTTTGTAAAAATAAATAATTTTAAAATCTCGGGCAATATATTTTAAATTTATAAAAGTCACAGTTCGTGAGTTCTGAACATTATTTTCATCTGAAGTTCATGTAGCTAAAATAGTTTAATTGAAAAATAGAACTTTCAATGATATTTATTTACTTAAAACATAGTTTGTTTTGATTACAAATAAATCTTACTAATATAATTCAATATCTTATTTATAGAATTCGTAGAAAAAGTTAAGAAATCTAATTATCTCGAATTTTTCTTCATGTTTCATCTATTGGCATTTTGGAAGTCAATTTTTTATTTCGATTATACACAAAATAACCTTTCAAATATCTATTCAAGGTAATCGCTCGCGGTCTACTAATTTAGATAAACGACATGGTATAGAAAAAAAAGTACGCGTGTCACTGTAATCAATCATGTCCTTTTTTTTTATAGTAAAACAGAACAGAAAAAAAGAACCGAATACACATTTACTAAATATTGTTACCTAATACCATGTGTTCATTCATGCATTTATTTCCTTTTTTCTTTTCATTTTCACATACATTTTAGTGTATATCAAACTGATTCTAATGGTAAAAAGTACATCATCTATTAGAATGTGATCATTATTTTAGCGTCTTTTTAGTTTTAAATTCTATTGAATCTTCTTATAATATCAACAGTTTTATACAAAAACCAAACTATTGATTTTTGTTATCATAGTTCTTCAAAAAAGACATCTATTCTTCACAATTTAACTTCTTGATATCCAACAAAAAAGAGTTTGCCAGATATCCATTGAGGAAAAGCTTTTGACTTTCAATTCATTTATCTAAAATGAAAGATTTACTCAAACCACTATCAAATTCAAAATATTAAATCATTTTGATTTTATCTGTGAAAAAAGAGTGGTGAAACAAATATAGAGGCTTCGTTTGGTGATCGATCTTAATCGCTAAAAGAATTGATTTGCTTAGTATTTTAGCATTATCTCAAAAATGGATGGATGCTCTTGGTTCGGGAACCTCTCATTAGATCGAAAACAGTATAGATTACACGTTCATTCTATTTCGATACTCAAAGCAAAAAGTAGACAAGATCCTCTAACTAAACAATGGTTGAAATTTTGAAAATGCACCTTCTGGAAAAGCAGTATTTCAGACTTCATTTTTGTGGCGCAAGTTATAGGAAAGTTCTTGTTCTGACCAAATATAGATTTTATCAAGATGAATCTTTTGATATTGAATAGTTCACTGTAAATAAGTTGGAAACCGAGCTAGCATTAACGATGATATGGTCTACCCTTATTAGAAGTCATGCAATCTCCTTCAAAATCGACATAATGACTTCAGACTCGTGTTCAGCGCACGGATCAACATCGTAAAAAGTTCATAAGAATTATATTCTTTTAATTCTCAACTAGATCAGGGTCATGAGTCTACTTTATAAATATATGAATAGTAAGAGATATTGAGTTTAAGACTTTATTCTTTTATAATCTTTTCCGAAAGCTACAATACTGTACAGTTCTATGTCGTTTAGCGTCTATTTGTATTCGATAAGTTCGTATCCTTTGTTTGAAAGTGACTGCATGACTTCTACAAGCGAGTTCATCAACTGAAGTATTCCCAGTTACTTTTGTATAATCACTATTTTTACGACATCAGTTTATTAAAATTAACGATAACAAAAAACCCTTGATATACACTATACTAATGTAAAAACAATTCGTTTTTGTTCCTTCAGGAAAAAAGCCTTCTTTTTCTGAGAGCTAATATCATATTTCATTTTTTCTTCTTACTGAAATTATTTTCAGAACATCAGAGTTTTATTATTTTTTGTCAAATGTCTCAATTATGTTCAATCGAGAAATGTATCCGTATATCACGTGGATTGTGCGATTGTTGCCAACAATATCTCTGTTTACAACATTTAAATGAACATAACGCCTTACTCATTTCTCAACTGAATCCTTTGGCTGATGAAATTAATGCACTGGAATATCGTCTTCAAATATTAAACATTCAGAAAATAATTCACAATGGTCGTCAAAAGCTTGAACAATGGCGTCAAGATTGTTATAAGATGATTAATTCTCTTTTTGAACAAAAATGTCAAGAACTTGATCAAATTGTTAATGAAACAGTTGAAGAACAACGAGAAAAACTGAATCAAATACAAACGAAGATAATTGAACTCATCAACGCACAAGAAACAACTCATGAAGATGTTAATTCATTGAAATCAAATATTCACCAGCTCGAAACAACTATGAACAATATCGAACAAACATGTTTTACGATTAATACTCGTCCATTACTAATAGATAACAAATTCGTTTTAATTAAGAAAACAACTGAACATGAACTTGATCTATCAACTCTTTCGCCTGTCTACGACACGATTCATCGTCTAGATGAAAGTTTTAGATTACTAACTACAAATGATCGATACTTATTGATACATCAACATCCAAATTTATGTTTATTTGATCGAGAAATGAACATCGTCAAACAAGCGTTATGGTCTTATGGAGAAATTCAGGATATGTGTTGGTCATCAACATTAGATCGCTTCATTGTGCTTGGAGAAAATAACATCTTTTTAATTGATGAAAATACGATGTCAGTTAATAATGTTCAGAGCATTGAAGAACGAGACTTGATGTCGTGTACATGTTCTGACACAGTTCTTTTTGCAAGCACAAATGAACCTGCTTCATCTATTATGCAATTTACACTCTTCTCAGAAATGGAATTCATTGGAGAATGGAAATATCCTCTTACGTGTGACAAAGATGAAACTATCTGCGATACTATTTACAATAATGGAAACCTTGCTCTAATGATAATGAATTTATGCAAGAAATCGATTCGTATCGAATTGAGATATGCAGAGACACTTGATCGCATCTGGACACTTCAACTTAATATTAGATACATCCAATATATAGCATTTAGCTTCTGTTCACTCACCTGCAATGAATGGCTCGTTGCCGACTATGAGACTGAATGTTTGCTGCAAATTACAGAAGACGGGAAAATAAAGAAAACAATTGAATATTATCCGAGTCCCTACCGTGCTACCCTGTTCGACCTAAACAAGCTAGTTGTATTAACTATGAATCACGTGAATCTTCATACGATTCAATAAAGTGAACGGCTGCTTTCGTTTAATTTTTTATTTTGTATTAGTTTCTGTGATAAGCTGCTCAAATTAAAAATAATTAATCATATATTCCTGTAATATGTTTAAGATTGATCAGATAATTGAGATGAGTCAAGTTAGAACATCTTTTTACTTTCTAATATGTAAATAAAATATCAAACTTAGTTGACCAAAAATAGAAAAAGTTATATTTTCTTAAATATTTCAGACATAAATCTGAGGTTGTGACGTTAAGAAAAAATAAACTTTCTGTAAACCGTACAGCGGTATATATTACTTAGAGCATCATGTATTTATGAAAAAGCTTTTAATAATATTATGAACTCAAAACCTAGAAACACTATTCTTCGAAACAGCTTGACTCAAAAATGATCCATTCGTAGCGAATGAGATTAATATATGCATCAATTTGCAGGTATTTTGCTTTCGGTATAGACTCATTACTAACTATATCGTTATTCTAAAAATATTTAATATAACTAATAGTTAAAAAAAAAGCAATTCATGATTGTTTTTCAATAATCTTTCATCAATAAAATATAAAGATCTTTAGTTTTTGTTATAATCTTCATTCTTGGCGAAATCACCATAATAGTCTCATTGAACTATAACAATCGAGAAAAAACATCCAAAATATGTTAGAAACTACACGGATGAACCGAATAACCAATATAATGTTGTAGCAGCCAAGAACAATTGATGGTCGAATGTCAAAAGTATTAGCTACGTATCATCCATCATTGGAATCAGATAATGATGACAATAGTCCTAATACATTAAAAAGGAAAAAAAACAACTACCCCGACTATTTGAAGTATAAGTCGTTTTAATGATTTAGAACATGAGCCGAAAATTCAATGAAATTTACGTTTTGGATGCATAAATGAAGGTTATTCAATGAAGTCAAATGTATATTGTTCTAAATCTCAAGTACATCTGTCTTAAAGTAATGTGTAATTGTTTTAAAGACTATCATTGTAAAAAATTAACAACAGCATCAACATTTATTTAAATGACTTGTTTATTACTTGAGCAACAAATTGATTCATTTGAGTGATAAGAAAATATCTTTGTAGGATGTTTCGTATCTCTTTTTTCTTTCGAATTCTTTGATAAAATACTATTAAAATTATATGACTTGTCTCGATTATTAGATCAGCCTTAAATAATATTCTGGAAATATGCAGTCAATTCTTTTTATTTCGAATTCCCAGTCGAAAAAATAGAAAAACACACTACACGAAAGTAGTTATTCATTTGATCGAATTGCATGCAGTTTTACATCAGCCATAGTCGACACAGCTAGCATATTTAGGTCCAACAAAAAAGTACGATAAGAACCCGAATAATATTGAATTGTTTTTTTTTACTGTTCCATCTTTTGCAATCTGAAGCAGATGTCCAGTCTCATAGTCAACAATGAGCCACTCATTACAAGTGAGTGAACAACAGCAAAATGCTAGTTTTTGACCACATTTAATAGCAAGTTGAAGTGTCCAGATGCGATCGAACGTCTTTGCATATCTTAATTCAATACGCATCGATTTCTCGGATACATTCTTAATCACCAGAGCAAGATTTCCATTATTGTAAACAATAGCATCGATCATTTCATCTTTGCTACATATAAGAGGATATTTCCATTCTCTAATCGATTCAACTGTTGGCATTAATAATATGAGTTCTAGAATAGATGAACCAAGTTCATTCGTTCATGCAAAGAGAACAGTGTCAGAACAAGTACACGATATGCAGCTTTATTCTTTAAAATGTATGCACATTATCAATTGATATTGTATGTTCGTTTATGAGAAAGATGTCATTTTTCCCAAGCACAATAAAACGATCTAATGTTGATGTCCAACACATATCCTGAATTTCCCCATAAGACCATAACGCTTGTTTGACGATGTTCATTTCTCGATCAAATAAACATAAATTTGGACGTTGATGTATCAATAAATGTCAATCACTGCTAGTTACTGATTGAAAACTTCTTTCTGGACGATGAATTGTTTTGTAGACAGGCAAAAGAGTTGATAGATTAAGTTCATGTTCAATTGTTTTCGTAATTAAAATGAACGTGTATTGACCGTAAAATATTTTTGTTCAATGTTGTTCATAGTATTTTCTAGCTGGTAAACAGTTGATCTCAATAAACTGATATCTTGACGAGTTGTTTCTTGTGCATTGATGAGTTCAGTTACTTTTGAGCTGCATTCGATTGAGTTCTTATCGTGGTTGGTCAATTTTTTCATGAACAAGTTGATCAAGGTCTTGGCATTTTTGTTCAAATAAACAATCAATCTTTTTATGACAATCGTGACGCCATTGTTCAAGTTTTTCGCAACTATCATCAATTGTATTATGAATATTTAGTGTTTTGAGACGATCTTCAAGTGTATTAATTTCATCAGTCAAAGAATTTAGTTGAGAAGTAAGTAGATCATTATGTTCATTTAAATGTTGTAAACAAAAAGATTGTTGTCAACAGTCACACAGCCAACCTGATGCACGAGTGCATTTCTCCATCGAACATGATTTCGACATTTAATGAACATAAAAAAATTCTAATGTGGTAGAGATGAATGCAGTAAAAAGAGAAAATGAAGCATGATATTCTTTCTCAAGAAAAAAAAACTTGTTTGTTTGTTGAAGAAACGAAAAGAGATTGCCTTAAAATTCGTACAACGGATGTGATGTTTCTTTTTTAACTTTAAATACAATAAACAGATGACGTAAGAATCATGACTTTACAAGAATGACAATGAATACTTCGATTAGAGGTGATTATTTTTTCCAAAAATAGAATAGTCATTTGTTTTTGAAAATACGATAAAACAGAGAAGCGTTTAAATGACAAGGAGAGAACGAAAAAAAGAAGTAGAGTGTGGGTGAGGACAAGGCGTGTATTCTACCTACAGTTTACATCTGCACCATTCTGAGCTGGGAATCTTCTCAAAAACTCATCAGAAAGAAAGTCTAATCTTCTTGTTTAGACAAAGGAATTATGTTGGCTTAAGCCCATTGCAAGCACTATTATAATATGTATGAATCTCGACATCGAGTTTTGCTGAAAAGATGAATTTTTCTGGCCAGGAAGAAGGAAAGGCTAAACAAAAGGTAATGCTTGATATTTCTGAATTATTTCGTCTACGTTTATTTTTACAAAAATACTATGAATGCTTTTAAAAAGAAAATTAACAATATGTATATATTTTGTTTTATATACCATTAATTAATTGACCTGTATTTGCTACATAGTTGCTTTGAAATAACTTTGATAGGATATATAGATACAGTGTAAAATGTTGCACAAAATAAAAACAAACTTTTTTCTTTTGCCACATTTTCAGAAACCATGAATATTACATTTTTGGACAAATAAACACTTTCAGCTGAAATATACATGGTTACTATTGTAAAGGGTCTATTCTTAAAATATCTATTTATGCAATTGGAAGATAAAAAAAATCTTCACTTTCGCAATACAAATAAGAAAAACGACCCTTTTTTCTCATTTCTTCAGTAAACAAACATTTTTATATCTTGCGAGATAACACGACATTTAATTGTGTCTTTCTACTGCAGCTAATTCTAAAGCATCGCAATTTTATTATTTTTATTAAATGTCTCAATCATGTTCAATAATGAAATGCATGCATGCATAATGTGGCCTATATGATTGTTGTCAGCAGAATCTTTGTTTACAACATTTAACTGAACATAATGCTTTACTTTTTCTCTCTAGTAAATCCTTTGGCTGATGAAATTAATGAACTTGGAGATCGTCTCAAAACACTAAATATTCATAAAAAGATTGATTATTCATTTGAACAAAATTGCCAAGAACTTCATCAATTTGTTAATGAAAAAGATGGCCAACAACGTGAAGAACTTAATTGAATACAGCTGAAAATAACTGAACTCATCAATGCACAAGAAACAACTCGTCAAGATATCGATTTATTAAGATCAACTATTTGCCATCTCGAAAGAAATTTGAGCGATATTGAATAAAGATGTTTTACGATCACTACCCATTCATTAGTAATAGATTACACGTTCATTTTAATTACGAAAACGATAGGACATGAACTTGATTTATCAACTCTGTCACCTGTCTACAAAACAATTCATCGTCTAGAAGATCAGTAACTAGCAATGATTGACACTTACTAATACATCAACATCCAAATTTATGTTTATTTGATCTAACCATGAACATAATTAAACAAACTTTATGGCCTTACGGTGCAATTCATGACATGTGTTGGTCATCAACATTAGATCGATGCATTGTACGTGGAGAAGATAAACATCTTTCTCATAAATGAAAATATAATGTCAATTGATAATGCGCATACAATCAAAGAACGAAACTGGGGATCGCGTACATGTTCTGATGCAGTTCTCTTTGCAAGCACCAATGAATGGAGTTCATCTATTATGGAATTTACATTATTCCCAACGATAAAAAATGATTAGAGAATGGAACTGTCTTCTTACATGTGCCAAAGATGAAGGTATCGATGGCATCGTTTACAATAACGCAAGTCTTGCTTTGACGATTAAGAATATACCCAAGAAATCGGTGCGCATTGAATTAAGATATGCAAAGACGCTCAATCGTATATGGTCGTTTCCACTTGACACTGCATGGACTCAAAAGATAGCATTTCGTTGTTGTGTACTGCCTTGTAATGAATGGCTCATTGTTGACTATGAGACTCAACGCCTTCTTCAGGTTACAAAAGACGGAAAAAAATAAAGAAAATAGTTCAATATGATCCGAGTCCCTTCTGTGCTACTTTGTTCGACCGTAATAAACTAGTTGTATCGACTATGAATGATGTTCGGTTGCATGCGATTCAATAAAATGAATGACTGTTTTCGTTTACTATGTTGCGTTACTTTTTCGATTGAGAACTTGAATTAAAAATAAGGATATGGGTGTGGGTTGGTGGGGATCAAGTGAAAACACGCGTCAACATTCTCACTTTTTCTTTGAAATTACTATGATTTTTATTGCAGAATTATATACTTGGATGTATGATATATTGATTTAACGACATTCATTTTTATCTTAATCAAGATTATGCCAATCGATATATGTTAATGTTGATAGATTAATTTATGTTGTACTTTGTTTCACTTCCTAACAAGTAATGTTTGTTTTTCCAATGAATGGTCTCCTACGGACAAAAAAGATACTTTTTTCGGATTGATTATTTCATTACCTAATACTCTGTGTTCAAAAACAAAATATATCACGAGATGCAGCGTAAAAAGTTTCACAATTTACAAGGAACAGTTTATTCTATAGTTGCAATTTTTTTTCAAAGTGAACAAAATTCTCTGCGACTAATTTTTAATGCTGGGAATAAGATCAGTTCCTTTTGCTATTGTTTTGATTAATGACTTGCAGGGAAAGTCATAATCGATGACCAAATAATGGGATAAAGTTAAAAACAATGATTCATTAATTGATGATATAAGAAAAAGAATTCATCGCGTACCAAAAAATGATCTTTTATGTAGCGTCAAAAACTGCTCGAACACAGTTTCATCTATTTTGAGCACAAAAGGTGCATATATCATAATGTTCTACAACAATTTATTTTGGGATAGATATTGGTACAATTTTTGTTGTTTCGTTATGAACATAAGCAATACATGTAAACAACAACAAAAATATGTTTTTTGTTTGTAATAGACTTTGCATTATATTCTTTTTTGGATGAAAACATTTGTGAAGTTCTAGGGCATACTCGTGCAACTCGAAATGGGTAACTCTGCAAAGCTCAATATGTAATCAAAATATTAGAAAAATTTATTCCTGTGGTAAAAATTTATGAACACAGATATTTTCATGATTCTTGAATTTTATCTTAGCACCAGTGAACGATGAACCAGACGAATCAGTAGCTATGGCAGCACCAACATTTGTTCAACTGCCTCGTTTATTATTTGAGCAATAAAGAAATTCATCTTAATTCTAACAAAATTTCTTTGTCAGACTTTTTGTATCGTTTTTCTTTCGTTTTCTTTGATAAAACATTGTTAAGATTGTGTAACTGATTTCGATTATCAAATCAATCTTAAATAATATTTTAGGAATATGCGGTTAATTATTTTCATTTCGAATTCTACATCAAAAATCTAAAAACGAACACTAACAGAAAGAAATAACTCATTTTATTGAATTGTATGTAGATTTAGGTCACAAATAGTCGATATAGCTATCTTATTTAGATCGAATAGAATAGCACGGTAGGGAGCCGAATGGTATTTTATTGTTTTCTTTACTTTTCCATCTTTTGTAATCTGTAGCAGACGTGCAGTCTCATAGTCAACAATGAGCCACTCATTACAACTGAGTGAACAACAACGAAATGCTATATTTTGGACGCAAGTAGTATCAATGAAAAGTGTCCAAATTGGATCGAACGTCTTTGCATACCTCAACCCAATACATAGCGATTTCTCGGATTTGTTGCAAACCATCACAGCAAGATTTCCGTTATTGTAAGCAACATCAACGATACCTTCATCTATGGTACATGTAACTGGATATTTCCATTCTTTTATCAATTTGATTACTGGGAATAATGTGAATTCCATAATAGATGAACCCCATTCATTTGTGCATGTAAACAGAACTGAGTCAGAAGATGTGCAAGATAGCCAATATCTCTCTGTGATTGTGTGTACATTATCAACTGACATTGTATTTTCGTTAATGAGAAAAATGTTACTTTTTCCAAGTACAATGAAACGATCTAGTGTTGACGACCAACACATGTCCTGAATCACACCGTAAAGCCAAAACGTTTGTTTGACCACATTCATTTCACGATCAAGTAAACATAAATTTGGATGTTGATGTATCAATAAGTGTCGATCATTGCCAGTAAATGATCGAAAACTTCCTTCAGGACGATGAATTGTTCTGTCGACAGGCGACAGAGTTGATAGATCAAGTTCATGTTCAGGGGTTTTCTTAATTAAAATGAACGTGTCATCTATTAATAATGGACGAGTATTGATCGTAAAACATGTTTGTTCGATTTCATTCATATTTTCTTGCAGCTGATGAAGAGTTGATCTCAATAAATCGATATCTTGTCGAGTTGCTTCTTGTGCATTGATAAGTTCAGTTATTTTCAGGTGTATTCGATCGAGTTCTTCTCGTTGTTTGCTAACTTGTTCATTAACAGTGTGATCGAGTTCTTGACATTTTTGTTCAAATAAATAATCAATCTTCTTATAACAATCTTGACGCCACTGTTCAAGTTTTTCACGACCATTGTGATTTGTTTTCTGAATGCTGAATGTTTGAAGACGATATCCCAGCGCATTAATATCATCAGTCAAAGGATTCAGTTGAGAAATGAGTAAGGCGTTATGTTCATTTAAATGTTGTAAGCAAATATTTTGTTGACAACAATCACAGAGCCCACGTGATACACGGGTGCATTTATTTATCGAACATAATTGAGACATTTGATGAAAATAATAAAATTCTGATGTTCTACAACTAATAGCAGTAGGAAGAGAAAATGAAATGTGATGTTATTTCTTAAGAAAAAAAAAGTATTTATTTGTGAAGAAACGAAAAAAAGGGTTGCTTTGCATTTGTATGAGGCAAGTTAAGTTATTTCTTCTGCTGCAAGTTTAAAGAACAGATGTCGTAAGAATAGTGATTGTATGAGAATAACTATGAATACTCCAGATGAAGGTGATTATTTTTTTTTAGAAATATATGATAGAAAGAAAAGAATCTGATTTTATTATGTCTAACAATGTGCACTGTCCAACTAATATGAGTTGCAAAAGAATTGAAAAAATGTCTAACGTTGTTAAATCGTATCACCGACTTCTGAGGCAATCGCATTTTTCTCTTGTAGGAAAGTGTAATATCCGAGCTACGAATTTCGTACCAGGCATATTTTTTCAGAGCGAACTGGTAGATGCGGAGAAGTCAAAAGTCAAACACTTCTAAAAAGTTCTTGCAACTTGGAAATTTGTTTTTTTTAGGAGCTTCGGGCCACGTGTACCAAACTTAACTTAAAACATACATAAAAATGTAGCTGATCAAAACCTCTATTCTGTCAGCTTTATTAGGATGTTTTAGATTCATTATGAACTGATCAGCCAAAAGAATTTGAAAAATGATGTTTTTTTCATAATAGAATCTTGTTTTAGAACCATGAGCCTCCAAAAACATCAGCTACCATCTCCAGAACCCATGTACAAACTCAGTTCTTTTTGCATTATTTGTTCGAATTATCCATGATCGGAGAAAAAAGTGCCGTAAATGGTCGTAAACGATATAAAATAGCAAAAACTCGGGTCTTTACAGGACCATTTACTGTATACTTTCAAAATGACGGAAATAATAGAAGTAACGATAATCGCTTTCAAACCAAAAATCTTCCGTAAAACGAACTGACGCATCACGGCGAAATATGGTGAAAGAAACTTGGCTATATCTTCTATCACCAACATAAAAAGCAAATGATTCTATAGAACCATAGGGATGATATTCACATTAATTTTTGTATAGTGACTTTAAGACATTCGACTTGTTAATTTTCAAACAAATCTATTTATAACGATGATAATCATTAAGGATCGATTCTATTTCAATTGTAAATTTAAATATAATTAAGACAATGTTGAGTATCAAATTTTGTTTAAATCCGGTGCTTGTAATTCATTCTCATGTCCTTTGAACTTGGTTTCATTTTAAAAAATTTACTAATCTGGAGAGATATTTTATTCTAAGAGACATTTGATTGAGACAAATAAAAAAATAAGTTGTTTCCAAGATAAAAAAGTTTACTTTTCACGACTAGATGTTTACATTTATTCTCACAACATTTAATTAACGAAAAAAAAAATCGTTCTAAGAAAGCATTCAAAAAATTTCGAGACAGACGTTCATATTGTTTCTTTTTTAAGTTGAATTAGAGTACTGCTTTATTTAGACTATCTTTAAACTTTTGTTTATTCTTATTGACTTTTGAAACATTTTTCTGCATGAATACATGATATGATTACTAACGAAAATTATATTTTTTTTTTTTGCTTTGAAGTTTATTTTTTCAGATAGATTAGAATATTAAAATAGATCCATCACACAAATCTTAACTATACGATAGACTTATTATTATGATTTGATAAAATTTTTGTGTTCTCATGAAATGTATGATCATTACCTAGACATAGTTTTAATCTCAATATCATGCAACTCAAATGAGTTAATCAAAAACTTGAATTTTTCAATAATATTTATTTATTTAAAATATAGTTTTCATTAGTTACAAATACATCATACTAATATAATTCAATATCTTATTTATAGAGTCCATAGAAATGTAAAAGGTTTGATATGTACTTGTAAATCTTATATTTTCTTTTAAAAATTTGAAAGATCTAATAATCTTGCATTTTTATTCATGTTTAGTCTATTGTAATTTATCGCGTAGATTTTTCTATTTTGTTGTCACAAGATAAACAAACTCTATTTAGTCTTGATATGTAAATACTAGATATAAACTATATCATATAATAAAAGTTTAGTTGTATACGAAATAAACTGTCAAATGTCTATATCTAAGGTAATTCTTCTATCTAGAAGAATCATTTTTTAAAAACCGTAATTGAAACTTGATCACAAATAGTTATGGATGTTTAAGTAGTCGTATATCCTGTGTCTGTGTTGACTGTATTAATTTTACCGAAGCACATATAATTTCACATTCTTATCTGATCATGATAATTTATTTATTTTTTAAAATCAAAACAACTATATACAAATGTTACAGGAGAAATTAGAACTCAGAAAATTTTAAAATTTTTCAAGGACAAATCATAATTAAGAATGAGAGTCAGGTGAGTTTTTAAATTTTCTTGAATTGTAATTTCTCCTGTGACAAAAACATCACAACAAGTACAAAATATAACGAAAATACATATGTTGTCACAAATACAGTTAAATGAAAACAGTCGTCTATGTTACTATTCCAAATGAACAGGCTCAAATTAACTTCGCGTACAAATTTCTTCACCTTCGTTAATCACCTCATTTTGTTTATTTGTTTTCACCTGCCGATCGAACTTTTGATCGAGGTTCTCGGCTACAGTAATTACAGGTCGTGACCGTAGCCACAATCGATACATTTCATGACTATGAGCACTATTCATATCTCTTTTTTTTTTTTATTGTAAAACAGAACAAAAAAAGCAAATCATACGTCCACAAAATATTGTTAATTATTACAATGCATTCATCCATGCATTTATTACTTTTTTTATTCATTCTCACATATATGCTAGTGTACATATAACTTATTCTAGTGGTAAAAATGTATATATATATTCGAATATGATCATTGCTTTATTTTATTTTTAGTTTAAAATTCAATTGATTATCATTATCATAATTATTTCGAAAAGACATCTATTTTTCAAGATTAAGCTTCCTGATATCCAACGAAAGCATCATTAGTTAAAATAGGAAAATTATAATGAGGTATACAAATTAAAACTATACATATATAAATCGTATTAAAGTTACACCAGTCGACAAAGTTATTTCAATTCAACTAAATACCAAAATAAAAATATCGATTATAATTCATGATATTAAAAACAAAGTATATACTTATTAGTTAGCTTTTTTCTTTTGTGGTTTTTTTTCTATTTTCATTAGATCTCAACCACAAGTACAAAATTGATCTCTGATTTCGATGAAAATCATGGTTTTCATGATAAATGTAGAAGAAATTATTAATCATAATCAAAGTTTATTTTTTCTGAATACATAATAAAATTACAAATCGATTCTAACGACTTTAAGCGCTGTCACTAATGATAATAGATATTTAGAATACTATGCTCTGATTTCAAAAACACTCTAACTTCATATTAATAAGAAAAATAATATATATATAAGGACAAATTGAACGCTTATCAGACTCACACTTAGTCAAACAAACACTTCTCCTAATTGAAGTTTTGAATGTCATATTTCAGTATTATTCTCTATGTGCCAGTCTAATCTAAACTTCAACAGTGAAGCTAATCTTTAAGGAGAACATATAAGATAAACATTATTAAAAAAAGTCGTAGATAAATCAGTAAGAATAAGTTTCGACCTTCGAATGCGATCGTCCAGATGCGTTATAAGGATTTTTTTTGCTTTATTGTTTGTGCTTAAACACTCGAATCTACCTATTATAGTACATAACAAATTTTGAGGGCACTAGAAAAAAAAACTACAAACTGCAGAAGACACTGCATCCTGAAGTAGTTCTTTTCGCTATAATCTTGCTTTCGTTTTTAATTGCAGTCAGGTACTGCACTGCAACTAATGGTTTCTAATATTTCAAATGAATAGCCATAGTGACAACGTGTTTACATATATAATTCTTAAAAAAAACTGGATAGCTGCATTTCGATGCTTTCCAATGTGAATCATTTTCCATTTCCATACATCAAATATCAAATGATTTTTGAGTTAATTAAACATTGTCCATTTTTGTTTGTTATATTTATTCGATTGTAAATCTTGAACTGTTACACAATATTTTTTCGAAGAATCATTTGAAATATAAATGATATATTTTGTTAATTTAGCTCATTGATGTGTATTTTTTTAGGGCTCTTTTATTTCCATTTATTTCATGATCTTCTTTCAGCAATTTTTGATCTAATATATCGCTTTCATATTGAGAAATCTTGATCACTTTCATTATTACAAATACATCGAATTTTGTAGATGCGCAGTATGTTATTTTTATTTGAAATAATAGTAAATATTTATGCATGACGATAGATAAAGACAACGACCAGGGAAAAAGTCGAGAAGCCTCTTTTTTTTTTGTTTTCGATAATAAGCGCAAAAAGAAGCATTAAAACAATCATTATTCTTATTGAAAACAATATGTAGGAGAAAAGAAGTGCGTCAAAAGAACGAGAAGATGCGTAGAAAAGTCAAAGACAAAAGAAAATAAAAGTAAAAGTGATTCACTCTGTAACCATTTCATTTATCATTTCAGTGATCATATCTCATATTTCCAAAAATAATGTTTGATGTTTTTGAATAATTTCTTTTATGTATATTGATAAGAAAAGTAATATGAATCTTTTTAAAACAAAAAATTAACTATAAGTGTATATTTTGTTTTTAATATCATTACCTAATTGATATTTATTTAGTTCTGAATTGATTTTAAGTAACTACACTAATGCTTTTTTTTTTGTCAAATTTGTAACTTCAATACGCCATGTATACACAGTCTTCAGTGTTACAAATAATTAAAAAGTTCCTTTTTATTATATTTTCCAAAAAAAAAAAAAAGATAAGTCATCTATTTTCAGACGAATAATCACCTTGACTCTTGTACAAGAACTATTCTTATGATATCTGTTTAATGAATTTAAAATTGAAAAAATCAAAAATCTAAAATTTCGTTATACGAATTCAAATACAATCCGTTATGATTCCTCTAAGAAAGAAAAGGTTTTTTTTTAGAAACAATATCAGATTTCATTTTGTCTTTTAATTGTAATTATCTTCAGAACATCAGAATATCATCATTTTCATCAAATGTCTAAAAGATGTGCGATCGAAAAATGCATCCGAGCATCCCGTTGGTTGTGTGATTGTTGTCAACAAAATCTTTGTTTACAACATTTAAATGAGCATAATGCTTTACTCATTTCTAAACTGAATTCTTTGAATGATGGAATTAATGAACTTGGAGATCGTCTTGAAACAAAAAGTATTTACAAAGCAATTACAGATAATCGTCAAAAACTTGAACAATGGCGTCAAGATTGTTATAAGAGAATTGATTGTTTATTTGAACAAAAATGTAAAGAACTTGATCAACTTGTTAATGAAATAGTTGACCCACAACGAAAAGAAATTAATCGTATACAGTTGAAAATACCTGAACTGATCAATACACAAGAAACAACTCGTGAAGATATTGATTCATTGACATCAACTATTCATCAGCTTGAAAGATATATGAATAACCTTGAACAAGGATGTCTTACGATTAATATTCGTCCATTAGTAATAGATGACACAGTCGTTGTTATAGAGAAAAAGACTAAACATGAACTTGATCTCTCAACTCTGTCGCCTGTCGTCAAAACAATTCATCGTCCTGAAGAAAGTTTTCGACCATTTACTGGCAATGATCGACACTTATTGGTGCATCAACATCCAAATTTATGTTTATTCGATCGACAAATGAACATAGTCAAACAAACTCTATGGTCGTACGATGCAATTCAAGACATGTGTTGGTCGTCAACATTAGAGCGATTCATTGTACTTGGAAAAAATAACATCTATCTCGTCAATGAAAACACAATGTCAATTAATAATGTGCACACAATGGAAGAACGACACTGGCTATCGTGTACATGTTCTGACACAGTTCTCTTCGCATGTACAAATGGACGTGCAGCGTCTATTATGGAATTCACATTGTTTCCATCAATCGAATTGATTCGCGAATGGAAACATCCTCTAACATGCACCAAACATGAATTTATTGTTAGTACTGCTTACAATAACGAAAAGCTAGCTCTGACGGTTGTGAATGTGTTGGATAAATCACTGCGCATGGAATTGAGATCTGCAAAGACTCTTGATCGCATCTGGATGCTTCAACTTGATATTAATTGGGCTCAAAAATTAGCATTTCGTTGTAGTTCACTTCCTTGTAATGAGTGGCTTATTGTCGACCATGAGTGTGGACGTCTTCTCCAGATTAAAAAAGATGGAAGAGTAAAGAAAATAATCGAATATCATCCAACTCCCTGTCGTGCCATTCTATTTGACACAAATAAGCTAGCAGTATCGACAACCAATGGCGTAAATCTGCACACAATTCAATAAAAAGCTTGACTGCATTCATGTAGTATTTTTGCTTTTATTTATTTATTTTTTTGATGAAGAACACGAGTTAAAAACAATTAAATACATATTACTGACATATAATTTACAATAGATTAGATTATTGATGTCACTCTAGTTAGAATACTTTTTTTTTAATTTTGTGACATATAAATAAAAGATTATATTTACTCGACCAATAAAGATACAAAAAACTAGGCTTACAGAACAACGGCTTCAGGTACACCCTTCTGATTTCTCACCGTCGGTAATTGAACATAAGGATTATGTTTGAAAATTGTTTATCATGAGAATTCGGTTTTCTTATAGATTCTCCTATATTACGTCTCTTAAGTGCAGATGAATGGATTTTTCTGGTAGTCTTGGTAAAGATTATGTGATATGCGGGTTATTATCGGGACTGAATTCGTTGCAAAGAAAAACATGATCAAATACGAAGACATTTTTGATTTTTATCATATTTTATAATTCTGTGCAGGTCCTATAACGAATCCACTTCTTGCTAAAAATTGATACTTATGATATTAGTGAAGGATCAACTATTTATATTCCATTTAGTGCAAGTTTAAGACATTAGTTTTGCTTTTATTTTTTGTAAAAGATTCTATTTGAAATAGACTTTGTCGAATGAAATAAATGATGAAATTGTAGAATATTCTGTTGCAATTCGAAACGATTAACAATGCAAAGACTAATATATCACCACGATTTTATAAAATTTATTCCTACTGTAAAAATTTATGAATGCATCTTCATTTTAACCAACGGTGAATGATGAATCAAACAAATCAGCAGCTCTGACAGCGTCAACATTTATTCCAATAGCTTGTTTTTTTATTTTAGCTATAAGTAAATTCATGTTAATTATAAGAAAAATATGTTTGTCAAATATTTTATATCTTGACTTTTTTTGCGTTCTTTTGATAAAATATTATTAAAACTATATGACTGATCCCAACTATTAAATTAGTCTAACATCATGTTTCAAGAAAGTGCAGTTAATTATTTTTATTTCGTGTTCTCTTCATTGAAAAAGTAAAGCAAAACACTAAATAAAAGTAATCATTTATTTTACTGAACTGTATGCAGTCTAGCATCATCCACAGTCAATACAGCCAACGTATTTAAGTCGAATAGAACAGCACGACAGGGAGTCGAATCATATTGAACTGTTTTCTTTATTTTTCCGTCTTTTGTAATCTGAACCAGACGTTCAGTTTCATAATCGACTATGAGCCACTCATTAAAAGTGATTGCACAACATCGAAATGCTACTTTTTGCAAACACCTAGTATCAAGTTTAATTGCCCACATGGGATCGAGTGTCTTCGCATTTCTCAATTCCATGCGCACTGATTTCGTTGATTCACTCATAACCAATAGAGCTAGATATCCGTCATTGTAAACAGTATCAGCGATACATTGATCTTTGGTACATGTAACGGGATATTTCCATTCTCTAATCAATTGAATAACTGGTAATAATGTAAATTCCAAAACAGATGAAGGACATTCATTTGTGCTAGCAAAGAGAATTGTGTCAGAACATGTACATGATCCCCAGTGTCGTTCTTCAATTGTGTGCACATTATCAATTGTCATTGTATAGTCGTTGACGAGATATATGTTATTTTTTCCCAGTACAATGAATCGATCTAATGTTGATGACCAGCACATATCATGAATGGAACCGTAAGACCATAATACTTGTTTGACCATGTTCATTTCGTAATCGAAAAAACATAAGTTTGGCTTTTGATGCATTAATAAGTATCGATCATTGTTAGTTAATGATGGAAAACTTCCTTCTGAACGTGGAATTATTGAGTACGCAGGCGAAAGAGTTGATAGATCAAGTTCACGTTCAATTTTTTTGTTAATAAAAACGAGCGTTTCATCTATAAGTAATGGATGAATATCGATCGTAAAACATGTTTGTTCGATTTTGTTCATATTTGTTTTGAGCTGACGAATAGTTGATCTTAATAAATCGATATCTTGTGGAGTTGTTTCTTGTGCATGGATGAGTTCGGTTATTTGCAAATTTATTCGATTGAGTTCTTCACGTTGTTGATCAACTTTTTCGTTAACAAGTTGATCAAGTTCTTGACATTTTTGTTCAAAAAAAGAATCAATCTTCTGATGACAATCGTCACGCCATTCTTCAAGTTTTTGACGACTATGGACAATAGGTTTTTGAATATCTAGCGTTTTGAGACGATACTCAAGTGCATTAATTTCATCTGTCAAAGGATTCAATTGAGAAATGAGTGAGGCATTATGCTCATTTAAATGTTGTAAACAAAGATTTTGCTGGCAACAATCACATAGCCAACGTGATGCCCTTGTACATTTCTTTATCGAACATGATTGAGACATTTGATGAAAATAATAAAAATTTGATGTTCTATAGATGTATGTTGTACGAAGAGAAATTGAAATTTGATGTTTTTTCTCACGAAAAAAATTGTTTTGTTTACTGGAGAAACGAAAAAAGGTTTGTTTTTTGCATTTGTATAACGAAAGTTAAGTTGTTTCGTTGTTTCATCTGCTTTGTATTCAATGAGCAGATGTCGTAAGACTACTGATTGTACAAAAATAACAATGAAGACTAGCTGAAAGGGATTATTTGTTCGAAAATTGAATGTTTATTTTTGAGAAGAACATGATAAAAAGCCGAAAAGAATTTGTTATATGTATAACATGGATTGCAAAAAGAAATCAAATGAATGTAAAATTTCACAAGCTAGATTACTGATTTCTAAAGCAATCACATTTGTTTTTGGTGGAAAGAGCAACTTCTATGAGTTATACATTTCATATCAGACATGTTTTTCAGAACGAATTTGTGTAGAAGGAAAAGCTAAAAATCAAACACTCGTAAAAACGCTCTTGCAATTTCGAAAGTCGGTAGTTTTCGATTATTTGATTCCACATGAATTAATTTGTATCGAGAATACACAAAAAAATGTAGCTGATAAAAACCCTACCATCTCAGCTATGTTAAAATCTTTTTGATTCATTAAGGAGTCTTAAAGGAAGAACATTCAAGAATGAAATTTTTCTAAAATAGAGTCTGTTGCTAGGACTATAAGTTTCTAAAACCATCCGCCTCCATCTCTAGAAACCATGCACAAACTCATTTTTTTTGCATTATTTGTTCGAAATATTTTCGATCGAAGAAAACAGTCATAAACGACAGGAAATAACGAAAATCGGCGTCTTTTCGTCGCCGTTTTCCGTACAGTCTTAAAACATTGAAAATAATAAAGAAAATAATAATCACTTTCAAGCAAAAAAATGATCCGTGAAAAGAGTTGACGAGTTTTAGTGCAATACAGTGAAAGCTAATACAATAGTACTTCCGCTCTCAACGGTCAGATCATAAAAATTTGTCAGAAAAGAATACTTCAAGCTATATTATTTTATTGCTGCAAAACGATTAGATGGTGGCAGCGACAGAATTATTCCAAGTTTTTCACAAAAAACAATATCTTGTTATAAAAACCATGAGTCAATATAACTTCTAACCCACTATTGCAATAGCTACTATTTATGCTACAAAGCTCATCATTGAATGTGTTTCTCCCATACCTCTCTGATATGATTATAAATCTATTCTGACTAGACCTATGGACAATTCACAATCTAGAAATTGAATTTGTATCACTCATCCAGTTCTATTCAAAAAAGCTAAACTATTCAAACAGATGAAAACCTAAATGTGTCACGGTTCCCACTTCTATGAACGTGCTTTGTTTTGAGAACTGAAACTATATATTTATACACTCGGATGTGTCTTTTGCACAGTATAATGTATTTTGACTGCACTAAAAGAAAACCACAATTTGAAGAAGGCCGGCACTCTACACACTAAGCTACGTAGATTGTTTTCGTCATAATCTTGTCTTTATTCTTACTTGCAACTAAGTGCTACATTTTTAGTCTTGTATTTCATGCCGAAATGAAAACCAAGACTTACAGCAAAACTAAGAAAATATCACAGAACAAAATATATTGTGAGACTTGTTCAATCTATATGATTATTATCTGCTATCTAAATCAGAACATAATATTCTAGAGACCACTTATCATTTGTTAGACAACTTAGTAACATCAGAATTGATCAGTTACTCAAATAGATTATTAACAAAAAGTAATGCTTGATTTTTCTGAATAACTTCTTCTACATGTCTTTGCAAAAAAAAATCAAATAAATGTTTTCAAAATGTGAACTTAATTATAAGTATATATTTTGTTTCAATATCATTCACTAATTTATCTTAATTTGGTATTTTGTTGATCTGGAGTAATTTCGATAAATTCTTCTAACGACATCTGTTTATTGAATTTAGAGCTAAAAACAAGCTTTAACTTTCTTTACACAAATGCAAAAACAAACAGCTCTTTTTCACTTCTTCAACAAACAAACATTTTTTTCTTGAGAAATAACATTATATTTCGTTTCTCTTTCTATCAAAATTACCTTCAGAACATCAACATTTTTATTTTTTTTTGGCAAATGTCTCAATCATGTTCGATCGAGAAATGCACTCGAACATCACGTGGTCCGTGTGATTGTTGTCAGCAATATCTTTGTTTACAACATTTAGTCGAACACAATGCCTTACTCATTTCTCAACTGAATCCCTTAACTGATGAAATTAATGCACTCAGAAATCGTCTCAAAACAATAAATATTCAAAAAACAATTGGTAATAATCGTCAAAAACTTGAAGAATGGCGTGAAGATTGTCATAAGAAGATTGATTGTTTTTTCAAGAAAAAATGCCAAGAACTTGATCAGCTTGTTAATGAAATAGTTGACCAACAACAAGAAAAACTCAATCAAATTCAGACAAAGATAATTGACCTCATCAATGCACAAGAAACAACTCGACAAGATATCGATCTATTGACATCAACCATTGGCCAGCTTCAAACAAATATAAACAACATTGAAAACATATGTTTTACGATCAATACTCGTCCATTAGTAATAGATGACACGTTCATCTTAATTAAGAAAACTATCGAACATGAACTTGATCTATCAACTCTTTCACCTGTCTATAGAACAATTCATCGTTCTGAAGAAAGTTTTCGATCACTAACTTGCAATGATCAACACTTTTTGATACATCAGCATCCAAATTTATGTTTATTCGATCGAAAAATGAACATAGTCAAGAAAATGGTATGGTCTTATGGTGCGATCCAGGACATGTGTTGGTCGTCAACATTAGATCGATTCATTGTACTTGAAAAAAATGGCATCTTTCTCATTAACGAAAATACAATGTCAATCGATAATGTGCATAGAATTGGAAAACGACGCTGGATATCATGTACATCTTCTGACACGGTTCTTTTTTTATGCACAGATAAACGCGCTTCATCTATTGTGGAATTCACGTTATTTCCAATGATTGAGTTGATTAGAGAATGGGAATATCCTATTACATGTGCTAAAGATGAAACTATCGATGGAATTGTTTCCAATAAGGAAAATCTTGCGTTGATGGTTGTGAATTTATCCAATGAATCGCTGCGTATTGAATTGAAGTATACAAAAACCTTCGATCGCATCTGGACACTTCAACTTGATACTACGTGTGTTCAAAAAAAAGTATTTCGATGTTGCTCACTCACTTGTAATGAATGGCTTATTCTTGACTATGAAACTGAACGTCTGATTCAAATTACAAAAGACGGAAAAATAAAGAAAACAATTCAATATCGTTCGAGGCCCCGCTGTGCTATTCTGTTCGATCAAAATAAACTAGCGATATCGACTATAGATAATGTAAATCTGCACACAATCCAATAAAATGAGTGACTATTTTTGCTTAGTGTTTTGCTTTATTTTTCAATGTAAGACTTCAATTAAAAACAATGAACTGCATATTCTAAAAATCTGATTTACGACTGACTAGATAATCGAGGTGAGTTAAGTGCAATATTTTTTTTTTACTTTCTTATACGCGAATAAAACATTAATATCAATTGACCAATAAAAATCAAGAAAGTTTATATTTACTTAAATCTTTCAATCGTAAATTGCACATCATGATGTGAAGCAAAAAAAAACAGTTAGTACAATTTCTGCGAGATCAAAATATGAAACATAGTGTAGTTGCTGTTGCTAATCACAGAGAGATTGTTCTACTATATCTATCTTAGGATACATTTCTTCATCGTGCTTTTAACTTATCGTTTAGAAAGTTTTAATTTTTTTTTAGACTTTCCCTTATGTTAGAGCCCATGACATACACCTATAATATCAGCGACAACAGTTAAAATGAAGCGCATAGAAAGTAGAGTCTCCAGAAGACTATATCTATTTAGAATTAATTGCTTTGAATGTTGTATTTATTCACAATGAATGAATCATTAGATTTCGAAAGTTTGAAACATACAACAACAAAAAAATGAATTCATCTTAGTTATTATTCAAAAGCGATTTAGTTGTTGACGAGCATCGTATCATCACCAGTCTACATATTTTGTTTGAGAATTAATGAAAAACTTCTGATACATTTATCAATAACGATCTATTTTATGTAAATATGAAAACTTTATAATAAAGTTCACATTTTTATCTTTTTCATACTAGCAAAAAAAGTGTCTCTAATTAAACTAGTTCTTATGAAAAAAATCATTTTCCATGAAATATCCCAAAGCTTGCTTCTCAAAAGAAAACTTCGATGAAATTCCATTATTGTTCAAACTTGATCAATTATTTTTTTATAAGATAGATATATTTAACATGTTTATTTTTGAATTGTGTAATTATTATGTTCAATTTAATATTTCTACAAAAAAAGCAAATGCCGTTCTCATAGTTACTATTATCGAACTGTTACCTACTGTTATTTAATGTTTATTCTTGCATAGAACGAATAGTGAAACAAATAAGAGCAAATACTTCATTAATAATATGATAATCTTAATTAAAAATAGAAAGTTCTATTTTAGACAAAGATTTTAGCACAATAAATTATCTGATATGTAAAATTAAATTGTTCTCACGACTGAAATCATAACTTCATAACTTACTTAGCAACGTCTACTTCCTCTGGTACGATTTTTATACTTAAAAAAGAAACATTAGATACATATTTTTTAGAAACCGTAACAAGTGTGATTCATAAACGAAAAGCACTGATAACATATTCTTGCAATACATCCTATATTATTCGTCCATAGATATCAAACTGTATCATTCAAACCACAATATTTTTATGTAAAGAAATTAAATTGTTTTTTATTATTTATTTCAATTTGTCAATAATGTACTAAATGGGATTAAAACTAATCAAGATGATCATACATCATATGGTTAACGAATTATCACAATTACAAGAAAATTTTCGTATGAAATGATTGAGCATTATTTTCTCTTATTGAAGCTAATTATTGAATATAAATATAACAGACTTTGAGAAATTACATGTACCAACTGATACTTATAATTATATCTACAATGCTTACAGTCAAAGTTTCACGAGCTTGACGTTAGTCAATGGAAATTTTCATTTCTACTGTATATTGGAAAACAGAAAAGTTCAACTTAGTGAGAATCTTCTTATTTTGTTGATATATCGCTCAGGTTGTCTTGTTGAGGCTTCTTTTTTCTATATCGAACGATGTGTTATANGCGAAAATCTCTGATGTTTTAGTGGTTGACTATCCATGGAAATGTCCAATTATGTATCTAAAATTTGAAACTTTCCGCAATGCTATAGCCCATTCTCATACTATGAATGGCCAATCATACTCCTAAACCCCATTTTTCACAAGCTTTCATTTGGTATTAAATTCATTGTTAATGCTATTTGAAATCATAGTGCTACCCCCCTGGAATAATATTATTTCCTATCCTGTAGAAGACAAATATGACATGAGCATAAAATTTCTGATTCTAATCTACGACATTACACACTCTTATTGTTAAACGCTTCTATAATAGGGAGAAGTCTCGATAAAATACAAATTTTTATACTTAGAACATTATGTCGCTTGTTAAATCGTGGTCTATTATGCTTAATAAAACAAAAGTATAATAAACTGAATTAGATCATTTCAAATTTATAATATCAATTTAGATGTAAGAACATATGGAAAAGTTGTTCGTTTTCTTCATACTCCAATTTTTTTGTCATCGCAGGAAATAATAACTGTTATTATAAACAGATATTCTATGATTTTCTAGATTGTGATGTATTTTCTACCCAAATTTAAATTATTTATTATCAATATTTCATATTAACCAAGAAGAAAACAATTCCAGAATCTATAATGTATGAGAAAGATAAGTTTTATCTTGAGATTTAATTCATAATAAAGGCGAGAAATATAAATCTAGAAAGAAATATATTTTAGTTTATCATATGAAAAGAGAAATGAAAATGAACGAATATTTTTTGGTCATTATACGACCATTGTCAAGTAAAAAATCATAAACTTGTTGGTACAACCAAGAAAAATGAAAAGAAAACTAATGATACAGTAAATGACTCGCCAAGCACGTGTAAATAACAACATTCAGCGTACGTTACATTAATGAAAATCAATCAAATATATAATAATAACAAATAATTTACTTTAATATGAATACTTGGTTTTTTTGCGTTGTACGAAGAAGTTTTTTCTGGTTTTTGTTGATCGATAATGGTCATATAATGGTCATATAATGACCAAAAACTCCTCTTCATTCTCATTTTTCTTCTCGTATGATAAACTAAATTAAATTTTCTTTTTATATTTATACTTCTTGTATTTATTGAGAATATATTTTACTAATAAAAAGGAGGAGAAAGAAGCATTCTGACTAAGATTATCATTTATCTAAATACATAGGAAGAAAAAGACGGGATGAAACCAATAATAATCGATAACAATCAAAATCTATTAGATAATGATATTTGATGTTGTTACACTGTGATACATTGAAGGACACTTTGCTAAATCGATATACAGCATCGGAATTTTGAACACTAAGAGATACTCTACATGACATTGAAAAAGAACTTTATCGAAAATTTCTCCTATGATATTTCTACTTGTTTATGCGTTTGACACTTTTGGCATCATCTCACGTCTCAAGTTTTTTCATTTTACTCTTCAATAAGAAAAAACTGTTAATCGGTTATTCCATAATTTTTATGTGTATAAAATTGATCCAGATTATTCGATATCTCCAGTAACGACAATCTCCTTGCTTCGCTTCGCTGGGTTTTTCCCTATATTCAGTTGCCCAGTCGTCAAGAGAATTTTCCCAGAAATATTATTTCTTTTCACTGAAATTTCTCTGTGTTGTGTTCTAACCGATAAGAATATCGCCTACTCATGTATCATAGATGAAGAAGTATTAGAAAAACCAGAGAAGTATAGTATTGTTCTTTCGTTCTGCGACAGTTTGCTTCTTTTTCTCGTACTCAGATAACATTCATCGATTCTGTCTCAATAGATTTTTTCTTTGATATCCATTATTGAAAGAAGATTCAGTATAGAAAAAGAGAACAGACGAACTTACTAACGAACTTCTAACCATAGTAAGCAACTCAAAATCGACTCTTTCGTCGAAAAAAATGAGAGAAAGTACCTTTGAAAATATGCAAACACAACAGAGCTTGTCGATCTGAAGAGTCATGAATATAAGGAATCGTCAATGTACAGACACTGGTATATAATGCCGGTTGAGTTTAAGGAATGTTGTCAACAGCATTCTCGTTACTTCGACGTTCTTTCTTTTCCTTCTAGTATATTACTTATCTTTTGTGTTGTTTATCCCACGAGGTAGAAAAAAAAATCGTATCGTACATTTTTCTATCATTTCCCTCTTCTACATAATGTGGCATCGTCTTATGCAAGTTGTATGCATTGTAAACATAGCTGACCAATCGATCTCAGTAAAAATCTATATCAATTGATGTTCTATTGTTCTATTATTATTTTATAGACATTAATCTTTCTTTATCAAATGGGTGGAGAACTTGATTTTCGAGCATTGCTGCTCAAAATACAAGATCTTCTATCCGACAACGATCGACATCGTTTCCTTTTTCTTCTTGGCGAAGACGTTCCCAGATATATGCGCGATGATCCTTCACTTTGTGGAATACTTCGTGTCTTGGAATCTCTTTTCGAAAAGGCAATAATCAGCGATCAAGATTGTGATTACCTTATTAAAGCATTCAAGAAAATACATTGTAATGATGCTGCAAAACGGCTTCAAGGTTTGCTTTTTCTGTTTCTAATGAAGACTTACATTTGAAGAAGCTCTTTATATTATTGTTTTTTCAGAATATCAGTCAGCACTGGAGCATTTTAGTCAACGAAGTTGCTCACTTCAAGATATTCTGTTATTCGACTGCGACGATGAGGATAAGATGGCTTCAACTAGTTCGTACCGATAGAAAGCTTTATCGTGTTTACGATCAAGAATTCTCTTTTAGAATTGATGCATATTCCATCCGATCCAAATTCAATTGTAGATCGTTCAACCATGTATAAAGATTTAATTTTCGAAAACAAACTGCCAAGCTCATCACTATCTGTACATATCGAAAGGAAGTGGCACATTCATGTATCTCAATGGATCCATTCAATATTCAAACGACCTTTGAACATTCGTGAATGTATTCTACTTATGACCAATATTCTGATTCTTTTGAGTCTTCCATTAGCGATTTATCTCTCGGTAACATTCACTCAACGTTCGATGATAAAGCATCTAGGTAAACCCATAGCTATTCGCATAATATATCAGATAATGACCGATGCAGAATATTTTCTGTAGATATCCTTTGCCTTCTTTAAGGGTGTGAGTGCCGATGTTAGTGTAGTTGTTTATAGTCCTTGAACGAACTTCTACCAATCCTAGACTTTTCACATTTGTACTTGAAGAATAAGAAATAGAATACGTGGATTTGTCAAATTATAAAGCATAATATTCTTCATTCAAACAGTTTTTTGCAACATTTGTAGTGTCGAGAATTTGAAAAAAAAATCAAATACAAATGTATTTCTTTTCTCCTCGGCTTTCATAATACTGACTCGAGTGTTCAATCAACCGTTTAATATGATATATCCTGCTTTAGGATATAGCAATTGTGACTGTGTATGCGTATGGGAAGATAACTTTGATTGGAATGGTGTTGTGGATCCTAATAAGTGGGACTTTGATGTCGGTGGAGATGGCTGGGGTAAATACTTTTGTTTTTATTCAATGTATATCTTGTTTTTATGTACCGTGTATATATGTCACTAATTTAGGTAATGAAGAGCAACAAAATTATACAAATAATCGACGTGAAAATGCACGTTGTGAACTATTTCCAGGGACTAAAAATGGTCGTCTAATTGTTGAAGCTCGTCGAGTAAGATTAAAGCAAGACATTATGTTGAAGCTGTCTTGCACATACTTTTTTTTCAGGAAAACATGAGCAATACAATGTATACTTCAGCTCGTCTGAAGAGCAAGGCTTCATGGACATATGGTCGTTTACAAATTCGTGCCAAATTACCTGATGGTCGTGGCTTGTGGCCTGCGCTTTGAATGGTAACTATTTCTCGAATTTCTTTTTTACTTAACCTATATCAAATATAAAATAGTTGCCGCAAAATGAAACGTACGGTCTTCAATATTGGCCAGATAATGGTGCTATGGACTTGATAGAACAAGTCGGTTATGATCCGTTGCGCATCACTTCATCTGTAAACACATATGCATATAATCACATGAGACATAATACACCAATGAATTCCATAATTGTTCGTGACGCTATTTCAAATTTTAACATTTATACACTCGATTGGAATGAGAATAAAATTGAGATGTTTGTTGGAGATGATACAAATCAATTTGCTAATAGTATCTTTGTCTGGAATAAAAAAGGAGATTGGACACAATGGTAAGATATTCAGTTTCAGCGATGAAAATAATCGAAACAAATAAGATTTAAAAAAAAATTGTACCATGTTTAGGCCATTCGATAAACCATTCTTTCTTCTTATCAACATTGCTGTGGGTGGTAGGATGTGAGTATATCAACATTGAGATGCAAGCTTTTAATAATTGGAGTTTTATATTTGATTATATCTCGAAATTTCCAATATTCTCTTGAATAAAGAGAATCACTTAGTAGCTTCTGAAATAAGAGAAGAAACGGCATATCTCGTATGATTTCGAATAATATTCATTTCTTTTTCAGAGGTGGCCAACAAGGTATCGATAATAATATTTTTCCTCGTCGAATGGAAATTGATTGGGTACGTCTTTATCAACGACGCTAAACATCTGAACATACAGATACATCTTACTCGATTCTACCGGTTATTTTATGTGAAGTTCCGAAAAAGACAGTGAAACATTGAATAATCAATTGATTATTTGTTTCTCTTATTTTCTAATATACATTTCATGCGTTTTTATTCTTTTATCAATAATTCATATTGTGGTTTATTGAAATAAGATATCAACATAATAGAATTCAAGTTAAACTATTGATCAGACAGTATTGAAACTAGAGTGTAGGTTTGGGTATGGATAGATGTGTGTGTGGTGGGACAGGTGAATGTGAGGGTATGTGGTGGGTGAGTGTGGGCATGGGTACCTATCACTTATTCAATCACACTAACCATACCCAGACTCGCACCCCCACACACATCCACACTCAAAACTCTCTTCTTTAAAAATATATAGTTGACTTCAGAGTAACGACCTCATTACCCTTACGAAAGGTTTACATTTTAAAAGTTGAGCATTTTGAATGGATTAGGTGTAACGACGTCATCACCACAGGGTAATGCACCAAGTCTACTGAAATTCCTCAACTTTTAGGATTTAGAGCTACCTATGGGGGGTAACGAGTTTATGACTTCTTATATAAACTCTATATCTTTAAAATTGAGCGTTTTGAGTGGATATGGTGTATTACCCAAGCGTAATAATATCGTTACATTAAATCAACTCAAAAAGTTCAACTTTTAAAATATATACCGTTCATATGGGTAATGAGGTCGTTAACCCCCAAAACAACTATATATCTGTAAAGAAGAGGGTTTTGAAGCGATTCTGTATAATGACAATATTAAACCTAGGGTAATACACCAAATTCGCTCAAAACCCTCAACTTTTAGCGCATGTAGTGATTTGTTGTGCTGAGGTACGTGGTAACACTGGGAGAAGCAGGCCAAATTACCATTAATCTTTCGACATTTAGAACGTCTAGTCATCGCTAGCGTATATATGTCAAGCTTGAATCTTGAATTCAATTGGTATTTCAACTATTTAGTGTCAAGTTCCAAACAAAAACCACTTAAAAAATTACCATTCACAAAAATTTCACAACAAACATAATCGCGAGAAGGTGAAAATGCGGAGAAGGAAGTTCCACGAGGCATAAATACCACATAATGGAAGATTCACAAACATCATCACAGCAAGTGTGGATGCGGCAGAAATTATTTTGAAGGTTGAACTTTGAAACTTATAAAATGATATTTCGATTCACAGTTGAAATACCAAGTGAAGTCATATTTCAACCCTACCACGAGTTTTACAATCATGGTTACATACCAAGCAGACAGACATTTCTCAGCTTTTGGCACATATAGTTACGCATTGCAATCAGGTACACCAATAGACTTAAGATAATGCGCCAAAACCACTCAAAACGCTCAACTTTTAAAATATGGAGCTAGTTTTTGCTGATGGACAATGTCGTTACACTCAAGATAATACCGCGAAGAAGAACAATGCTTCTTGTGTGACTACAGGTTACATGATACTGGAATAGTCAGAGTGGTCACTGGTGGAACTGATAGCATTTGCAAAACATGAATACGCTCCAGTTGAATCCCGCATTAGTTTTCATGTTGTGAGATTGTGGATGCCCGATGTAACGGGATTATGACATCATTCTAATTTTACCAATCAGTTTCTATAATTATCAAAGTCAACACGCCAAATACTTGTATTATACAAAGAATCATACACAAAGCATAACTTTTTTTAATCAGCCTATTCCACCATGTTACAAACAAGTCAATCATATACAAAAACACATCAGCTGAAAAATACTCTAACTCTTCACTGAACAGATATCTCGTTATTCACTAAATTCAATCATCAATTCACTGCATTTCAATCTTGCCAAGATATCAGAACAGAATCTTTTCAACTATTTTTATTTCATATCAACACAGGCATTCAACAAAAGAATACTAACAAAAACACCAAAAAAACACAAACCATTTATTTATTTCATAGAAAAACCTTTTCAACCGAACAACCAACAAACTTTGGCATTACAAAACAAATCTAATATCTATTCAAAAACAACATAAGTACCCAGGTTCTTTTGGTTTATTTTCTTTTTTCTAATTGAGTTACTTCAATGGTCATTACACATCTTCCGATAGTTATCGACTAATAAATAACTAGCTGGATATTTTCATACTTGTTCATTTTATGATTCTCACCTTTATTAAGTACTTATTGTGATTAAGAATATAAAACATTTTCATGAACTCCTTTTTGTTTTTAGCTATTTAGTTATTCTGATTAGAGTTAAGTGTCTATTGTCTAAAGAGAATTGAATATTTTCTTTTCCTTTATTCTCAATTTCATTGTCTGTTCCTCATTGACTGTTTGTTCTCAAAAGAAAAATTGAAGATTTTCCTTTCCTTCTTTTTTTCCTTATGTTTCAGTTAGCTATTCTGATCATACTTGAGTACTTATTGTAACGAGCAATATGAAACATTTCCACTATCATCTTTTTTCTTCAGTATCAGTTTGACATCCTGATTTTTATTGAGAGTGTTATGAGAAGGAGAATGACATTTTATCGTTTAATTCTTTCTCTTTTTTTTTCTTTTAGTTATTCTGATTATAACAGCGTATCTTTTGCGACAGAAAAAATGAAATATTTGCTTTCAAGTCTATTTCCCTTTTTTTCAAGTTTTTATTCTGATCATAAGTGAGTAATCATTATGAGGAACAAACAGATACTTTCATTTTATTTTTTCCTTCTTACTCAATTAGATATTCTGATCTTTATAGAATATCTTTCACAATGAAAATAATCAATATTTTCCTGTAAGTATTCTTTCTTCTTAAGAGTTCGTTAGTCTCACATTTATCGAATACTTTGTATGAAAAAGAGAATCAAATATATTCGCTTAGAAAATCTTCTTACTTTTGAGTTAGACATTTTGATCACAATATAGTATCTTGCGTGAGAAAAAAATGGATGAAAAGTTTTCGTTTATTTCATTTTCCTTCTTCTTTAGTTCCTACTTCTAATCATAACCGACAATCTGTTGTGTACATTGTTACAAAGATAACTAAGTATTTTCATTTACATCTTTTCCTTTTTTTTCTATAGTTAGTTGGTCTGGTTTCACTTGCGTAGCCATCTTGAGAAAGAGAACGAAATGTTTTCGTTTAATTCTTTTTCTTTTGTTCTTTACTTACTTATCGTGGTTATAACTGAGTATAGATTGTGTAAATGAGAATTAAATATTTTCGGTTAAATGTTTTCCCCTTCTTCAAGATTTAGATATTCTAATATTTATTCTATATCTTTCGTGAGGAAGAAAGCTAAATACGTTGAATGAAGTCTTTTTTCTTCTTTTGAGTGAAATATTTTGATCTTCATTGACTATCTTCCATGATGAAGAAAGTGCTGCATTTCTTGCGAAGGATGTGAGTGCTCACTTCATAGACAACTAGCCACACACCCCCTCAATAATAGCTTGTTAGAAGTTTCATTATGTTTGGTCATTTTCAAACAATAGACATTGTCACGTTATATCACGAATAGATAGCAATGAAGACGTTGAATCGGATTCTAGTTTTACATCGCCTTATCCATAGTACTACTCAGAAAAAGTCTTTCAAAGGGAGGCAGGTAGATTTTCTTTGCCTTGTAGTAGCTCTTGGACCATATGCGTCTGTCAGAGATTCTCTCTTATTTTCTCTCTAGGTATGAAGCACTGTTTGTCTGACTTTCATCTGTAATTACAGTGATTTAATTATCGTCATGTGCGCTATCAATAGCCGTTCATTAGCACTTGTTAGCGATGCTGGCTTAGCATTAGCGTTGCAGTGTAATAATTCTGCGAATAATACTTTTTTGTTATTATCCTCAAAGGCACAAAAGGACTTATGAATAGTTATTTAGAAAGATTCTCAGACATCTGCAACGAGATCACATGTTTTACAAAAGCCAGAAAAACGCTTCAGAGGGGATTACTTATGACTGCAAGCACTAGGCATCTTGACTTAGCATTAACATTAAATTAAAGCAATACTAACAATAATACTTTTTATTGCGATCCTAGGGCAAAAGTATTGCAATTTGTATGATTAATATAATGCTAAAGCAGAGCCGACATCTCTGACTGAATTCAATAAGCTTTTGTTACAATTTCACTACAAAAGCAGTTTAGCTACCATTAAGTTAATGACGTATTGTAATAACTGAGTAGCAGCTAAAATACGTTTGCACTGAAACATAAATGTGTTAAACTTGGCCACAGATACCGGCTCTGCTTTAGTATTACATTAATCAATATAAATTGCAATACTTGTCTTAGGATCATAACAGAAAAGTATGACTGTCAGCATTACTTTAATGTAATGTTAAGTCAGCATCCCTAGTGCTTGCACTCGTTAGTAATCTCCTGCGAAGCCTTTTCCTGGATTCTGTAAAATATTTGAGCTCGTTGTAGATGTCTGAGAATCTTTCTAAATATCCATTTGTAAAATCTGTTGTGCCGTTGAGAATACCTATGAACCTTTCAAAATTTCTTTTCATCAACAATTATCATATGTCCGTTTATAGACGGATAACTGTATTGAAATTAATTAGTTTTTAAATTTTATCTACTCTTTGAAAGGGTTTAAGAGAATGCAATGGATAATATATTCGATAGCGGTTTTAAATCCTATAAACGCTTTGATAAACCTTTTCATAACGCATATTTCAAGTTGATGAACCCTTTTCTAAATTATTTTTGGAGTGTATAAAAAAAGCTTGTTAGCGCAGCTCCTGCGGAGCTGAAATGTGGAACTCACGTATACCTTTAGCTTTGTTACCTGACCCATCATCTGTATACTGAAAGACTTCTCGTCAACTATAATTGTTTTCCTTGAGAATCGATGAAAAGAGCGGGAATTTATTGTTTATTTGTATATTAAAAAAATATAAATGTAATTCAATTTAAATGGGATTTTTATAATAAATAAATTTGAAAAAAAATTTGTATGAAACATTTAAAGAGTTTTATTTATAAATATATTATGTTCTTTTATTTTGCTTTTTTATTCATCTGTGTAGATGTTGTACAAAATAAAATGAAATGAACTGATAATGTATAATTGTAGATGGTGGTGGTGTTTTCATCNTTCACTCGTGGTTGGATGACAAATTCGATGATTGACGGATTTTAAGTGGTGAACCGATTTCATGGCTCTACAGTCATTGGCTGTAAGATTAGTGGATATCTTTTTATCATAACATGCCAAAGCAAGCGTCTTTTTAAAAAAATATAAAAGATATGTACCATTTAACGATCAGAATAATTGAAGAGTTTGAAGTAACCAAAAAGAAAACGTTGCATAATATTTTTCTGAAAATAGAAAAAAGACAAAACTTTTGTATTTCAGCTTAAAATGATTACTTTGAACAGTACTTCTGAAGTTTGTTCTTATGAATAAAAACTTTGTGTATTCATCTATCATTTTAAAAAAATTGTTGATAAAGTTAAATTAAATAGTAAATATACAGGAAAAGTCTTTTTGGACATCCTGTATATGTACATTCATGTAAATCGTTCAATTTCTTTTCTTATTCATATTATAAAGGAACCCAACATTGTGTGGATGGAACAGACGAAGACTATTGTAAACATTTGTTATTGAATGAGTGCAATCCAGAGACTGAATATCGTTGCAAAAATGGAATGTGTATTGATGAAGAATACTTTCTCGATGGGGATATTGATTGTCAAGATCAATCAGATGAACAACGTCATTCAAGTTATGCCGTTACAAGCTTATGTTTCGCTCGGCCCAAATTGGATTGCGATGAAAGAATATTAGAAAGTAAAAACCACATTTCGTGCGGTGATGGATCACACGTATCTTTTGTACAACAATATCGACAAGCGTCAATGTCCACTATTCTTCATACTTGCTACTCATTTCGCGAGAGACAATGGAAGTGTGAACTGAATAATCGAGGGAATCATGTGGACAAACCCAGAGAATGGTCATTGTTTTGACTATGTTGATAATACAACAAATGTGCTAAAAGAAAAAAATGATTGTATCTTCATTCACAAATGTGCATTAACTAGACAAGGTCAACATTATTTGTGTCCGTGTACAGGTAATGGTTGTCGTGCTCATTTCTATCGCTACTGTGGTTCAAATAATGTCTCATTATTTGCTTATCCATCTGGACGTATATTCACGCCATTTGTTGAGACTTATTACAAAAGCGATGAGCACAATTATGATCGTAATAACATGGCCAGACATTTTTATTTTCACTCGTAGTATTAAATGTAATACTGAAATGCGAGCAACGCCGAATATAACAAACCAGAAAGATTGGCTCTACAATGAAGATGTAGTAGTCACATCTGTGAGAGTACATAGTGCTCATCCATTATAAGTGCTTTTGTGTAAGAGCCATGAATCTATCAATGCGAATCAAACGAACTATGGAATTTGTTGGAATGACTCGTATCCCAACCAAGGTAAACATTGCCCAGATTCAATACCATATAATTGTATCTCAAAATATCATGTCAAAGATGGCTTTCATGATTGTGCGCGTGGTAAGAAATTCTCCATGATTCTCATTATTTTGTATGAAAACAAAAACGAAAATGTTCTTCTAAGGCTAAAAACTCATTCGAATTTCAATTCGAAGATTCAAACGATCATAAGAATTAGAATCCCTCATTGTGAATATATTAATATAAAAGAATGAATTATAAGAAAACTTGATATGTGTACAGTTCCAAATATTCTCCCGATGTTATTACCCATTGCTCCTAGAAACTTCTTCTTCGACAGTAATTTTTAATTTCATTTCGGTTGAGCAATTGTACAGGGTGAGTAAAAATATTATTCCAGGGAGCTAACGCTATAATTTCAAATAGAGTAAGTAATGAATTTTATATCAAATGAAAGCTCGTCGAAAACGGGATTTATTGATACTAAATAGTAAGAGTTATCAAAAACTTTTTAATGTCTAATTTAATAAATTTTCAGAAATTTTATCCTTTTTTGCTTAGAAAATTAAGGCGCTAGTAATTTAAAAATGGTGTAGAAATTTTTTCTTGGATATTTTTACATGGTTCGATAGAGCTCGTCGAGCTCTACAAACTATATATATTGAAAGTTTTTTAAGCCATTTTTCTATGATAAAGAATTCAAAAAACTACTTGGAAAATCTTTGAAAACTGTTAAAAAACTCATTTTTTTATATGGAAGAAAAACATTCGATTTTTCAATAAAAGTAGCTTTTTTCATTATTTTTACAACTGCAGACACTTCGAAATATACTGATCAGATGCAGCGTGAAAAACTGCATCTAATGAGTATATTTCGAAGTGTCTGCAGTTGTAAAAATAATGAAAAAAGCTACTTTTATTGAAAACTCGAATGTTTTTCTTCCATATAAAAAAATGAGTTTTTTAACCGTGTTCAAAGATTTTCCAAGTAGTTTTTTGAATTCTTTATAACAGAAAAATGGCTTAAAAAAAGTTTAATATATATAGTTTTGTAGAGCTCGACGAGCTCTATCGAACCATGTAAAAATATCCAAGAAAAAATTTCTACACCATTTGGTATAAAATTCATTACTTACTCTATTTGAAATTATAGCGTTAGCTCCCTGGAATAATATTTTTACTCACCCTGTACATGTCTCGATACATCTGTACCCTATGATCTTTGCGTCAGGTGAGTTAGGTGGATTTGTACGAGCTCAGTTTCGCTGGGCACTCCTTGATTACGTTACTAATTGTTTCATATATTGTTTGAACTCATCATTCAAAAATGTTCTCATGTTCTTTCTAGCGGGAGATGAGACAAGAGATAATTGGTTTGAAGATTGTTCATCAATTCAGAAGCATCGTTTTCGATGTTCAGAAACTGAACAAACTTGTTTGACAGTCTTTTCGATTGGAGATAATCATCCCACTTGTNGATTTTTCAATAAAATTAGCTTTTTTCATTATTTTTACAACTGCAGACACTTCGAAATATGCTGATCAGATGCAGCGTGAAAAACTGCGTCTAATGAGTATATTTAGAAGTGTCTGCAGTTGTAAAAATAATGAAAAAAGCTAATTTTATTGAAAAATCGAATGTTTTTCTTCGATATAAAAAAATGAGTTTTTTACCAATTTTCAAAGATTTTCCTAGTTTTTTGAATTATTTATGACAGAAAGATGGCTTAAAAAAGGTTTAATATATATAGTTTTGTAGAGCTCAACGAGCTCTATCGAATCATATAAAAATATCCAAGAAAAATTTCTACACCATTTGGTATAAAATTCATTACTTACTCTATTTGAAATTATAGCGTTACCTCCCTGGAATAATATTTTTACTCACCCTGTACATGTCTCGATACATCTGTACCCTATGATCTTTGCGTCAGGTGAGTTAGATGGATTTGTACGAGCTCAGTTTCGCTGGGCACTCTTTGATTACGTCACTAATTGTTTCATATATTGTTTGAACTCATCATTCAAAAATGTTCTCATGTTCTTTCTAGCGGGAGATGAGACAAGGGATAATTGGTTTGAAGATTGTTCATCAATTCAGAAGCATCGTTTTCGATGTTCAGAAACTGAACAAACTTGTTTGACAGTCTTGTCGATTGGAGATAATCATCCCACTTGTAAGAAAAACAATCACGACGAATATTCTAAAAAGTACAATCTTCAACTGAACCACCTCAAATGTGTTAGTAGAGATTCTGCTGATTGTATATTTCTTCGTCAATACATTTCGGAATCGTTCATCTTAGATACAAACACCACCGAAAAAATCGATAACTCGATCGAATTCTGGAATTATTGTGATTCTTATGGGGGGAAAAGTTATGGTGCCGATGAAATTGACTGTCAGCAATGGAAATGTCCATTACATTACTCCGCACGAAGATTTTATCAATGTCGAACGGGTCAATGTATTTCCGAAAATTGGTTGTGCAATGGGGAGTGAGATTGCTCAGATGGATCTGATGAAGAAGGCATTCAACTATTAACAGAACGCACTGTCGGTGAACATAATTTAAAATTATTTCAGCTACTAGGAACAAATTTAACCGAACAGAAAAGTCGATATTTGAAAGAGAATTCAAAACGCCCATTCATGCAATTTTATGATATCAAAACTGAATATGCTTGTTTGTTGGCGAATGTAGATGATGCATTGAACTTTCGATTAAATCGGCCATGTATTAATCTAACACAACTGGATGATGGTCGTGTTGATTGTTACGGTGGATTAGATGAGTGAAATATATCGAATTATTCATCGTATAATCAGTTGGGTTTTGGATTTAAATGTAATATCAATGACAAATGTATTCTAAGAAGACAACAATGTACTACTGATAATCGATGCTTTAATGGTAACGATCGGCTGCTATATATTTATTTGTATAATAACACATATGTGAAATGTAATGGTCAACATTCANTGGAACAGACGAAGACTATTGTGAACATTTGTTATTGAATGAGTGCAATCCAGAGACTGAATATCGTTGCAAAAATGGAATGTGTATTGATGAAGAATACTTTCTCGATGGGGATATTGATTGTCAAGATCAATCAGATGAACAACGTCATTCAATTTATGCCGTTACAAGCTTATGTTTCGCTCGGCCCAAATTGGATTGCGATGAAAGAATATTAGAAAGTAAAAACCACATTTCGTGCGGTGATGGATCACACGTATCTTTTGAACAACAATATCGACAAGCGTCAATGTCCACTATTCTTCATACTTGCTACTCATTTCGCGAGAGACAATGGAAGTGTGAACTGAATAATCAAGAGATCATGTGGACAAACCCAGAGAATGGCCATTGTTTTGACTATGTTGATAATATAACAAATGTGCTAGAAGAAAAAAATGATTGTATCTTCATTCACAAGTGTGCATTAACTAGACAATGTCAACATTATTTGTGTCCGTGTACAGGTAATGGTTGTCGTGCTCATTTCTATCGCTACTGTGGTTCAAATAATGTCTCATTATTTGCTTATCCATCTGGACAGATATTCACGCCATTTGTTGAGACTTATTACAAAAGCGATGAGCACAATTTTGATCGTAATACATGGCCAGATGTTTTTATTTTCACTCGTAGTATTAAATGTAATACTGAAATGCGAGCAACGCCGAATATAACAAACCATAAAGATTGGCTCTACAATGAAGATGTAGTAGTCACATCTGTAAGAGTACATAGTGCTCATCCATTAGAAGTGCTTTTGTGTAAGAGCCATGAATCTATCAATGCGAATCAAACGAACTATGGAATTTGTTGGAATGACTTATATCCCAATCAAGCTAAACATTGCCCAGATTCAATACCATATAATTGTATCTCAAAATATCATGTCAAAGATGGCTTTCATGATTGTTCGCATGGTAAGAAATTCTCCATGATTCTCATTATTTTATATGAAAATAAAAACGAAAATGTTCTTCTAAGGCTAAAAATTCATTCGAATTTCAATTCGAAGATTCAAACGATCATAAGAATTAGAATCCCTCATTGTGAATATATCAATATAAAAGAATGAATTAGAAGAAAACTTGATATGTGTACAGTTCCAAGTATTCTCCCGATGTTGTTACCCATTGCTCCTAGAAACTTCTTTTTCGACAGTAATTTTTAATTTCATTTCTGTTGAGCAATAGTACAGGGTGGGTAAAAATATTATTCCAGGGGGGGTAACGCTATAATTTCAAATAGAGTAAGTAATGAATTTTATACCAAATGAAAGCCCGTCGAAAACGGGATTTATTGATACTAAATAGTAAGAGTTATCAAAACTTTTTAATGTGTAATTTAATAAATTTTCAGAAATTTTATCCTTTTTTCGCTTAGAAAATTAAGGCGCTAGTAATTTTAAAATGGTGTAGAAATTTTTTCTTGGATATTTTTACATGGTTCGATAGAGCTCGTCGAGCTCTACAAAACTGTATGTATTAAGCTTTTTTAAGCCATTTTTCTGTCATAAATAATTAAAAAAACTACTTGGAAAATCTTTGAAAACTGTTAAAAAACTTATTTTTTTATATGGAAGAAAAACATTCGATTTTTCAATAAAATTAGCTTTTTTCATTATTTTTACAACTGCAGACACTTCGAAATATACTCATTAGACGCAGTTTTTCACGCTGCATCTGATCAGTGTATTTCGAAGTGTCTGCAGGTGTAAAAATAATGAAAAAAGCTAATTTTATCGAAAAATCGACTGTTTTTCTTCCATATAAAAAAATGAGTTTTTTAACAGTTTTCAAAGATTTTCTGAATAGTTTTTTGAATTATTTATCACAGAAAAATGCCTTAAAAAAAGTTTAATATGTACAGTTTTGTAGAGCTCGACGAGCTCTATCGAACCATGTAAAAATATCCAAGAAAAAATGTTTACATCATTTTTAAATTACTAGCGCCTTAATTTTCTAAGCGAAAAAAGGATAAAATTTCTGAAAATTTATTAAATTACACATTAAAAAGTTTTGATAACTCTTACTATTTAGCATCAACAAATCCCGTTTTCGACGAGCTTTCATTTGGTATAAAATTCATTACTTTCTCTATTTGAAATTATAGCGCTACCCCCCTGGAATAATATTTTTACTCACCCTGTACATGTCTCGATACATCTGTACCCTATGATCTTTGCATCAGGTGAGTTAGGTGGATTTGTACGAGCTCAGTTTCGCTGGACAGTCCTTGATTACGTCACTAATTGTTTCATATATTGTTTGAACTCATCATTCAAAAATATTCTAATGTTCTTTCTAGCTGGAGATGAGACAAGGGATAATTGATTTGAAGATTGTTCATCAATTCAGAAGCATCGTTTTCGATGTTCAGAAACTGAACAAACTTGTTTGACAATCTTGTCGATTGGAGATAATCGTCCCACTTGTAAGAAAAACAATCACGACGAATATTCTAAAAAGTACAATCTTCAACTGAACCACCTGAAATGTGTTAGTAGAGATTCTGCCGATTGTATATTTCTTCGTCAATACATTTCGGAATCGTTCATCTTAGACACAAACACCACCGAAAAAATCGATAACTCGATCAAATTCTGGAATTATTGTGATTCTTATGGGGAAAAAAGTTATGGTGCCGATGAAATTGACTGTCAGCAATGGAAATGTCCAGTACATTACTCCGCACGAAGATTTTATCAATGTCGAACCGGTCAATGTATTTCCGAAAATTGGTTGTGCAATGGGGAGTGGGTTTGCTCAGATGGATCTGATGAAGAAGGCATTCAACTATTAACAGAACGCACTGTCGGTGAACATAATTTGAAATTATTTCAGCTACTAGGAACAAATTTAACCGAACAGAAAAGTCGATGTTTGAAAGAGAATTCAAAACGCCCATTCATGCAATTTTGGGATATCAAAACTGAATATGCTTGTTTGTTGGCGAATGTAGATGATGCATTGAACTTTCGATTAAATCGACCATGTATTAATCTAACACAACTGGGTGATGGTCGTGTTGATTGTTACGGTGGATTATATGAGCGAAATATATTGAATTGTTCATCGTATAAACAGTTGGGTTTTGGATTTAAATGTAATATCAATGACAAATGTATTCTAAGAAGACAACAATGTACTACTGATAATCGATGCTTTAATGGTAACGATCGTCTGCTATGTATTTATTTGTATAATAACGCATATGTGAAATGTAATGGTCAACATTCAACCGCGACTGTGAAAGATGTCCACTGCCTTAATGGAAGCTGTTTGCCAGATTCACGATGTAATGGCTTGGTAGAATATCCATACGGTGAGGATGAATACTATTGTCCAACTGGAAGTTCCTCTACAACTGGAACTTATCGACCGCGCATTAAGAAGTCTTATTTTCCTTCAATCAAAATACAACTACCAAATTATTCTCCATTTTCTTTCTTAGTAAATAAATCCAATGAAAACAATGACAAGAACAAAACGTTAACATCACAGACATCAATGACTGGTAAGTCCACATTATAAATATGATCTATTTTGTTCAATTGATTGCTTTTGTTGATTTGTTCAGCTATTCAAGGTGAAATTTCGTCCACAAGATCATCTCGACAAAAACTGGCGAATCAGTATCCTGAGAACGGTTGGGTATGTAATCGTGGCGTTGCGGGTGTTAAAAAATCATTTGATGTAAGCCAGTTAACTGTACAATGCTTTTGTCCACCAAGTTATTACGGAGAGCGGTGTGAATTCATGAGTGATCGGCTAACAGTGTTCATTCGCTTTGAAAAACAGACTAATACTTTGTCAAAAGGTGTTATCAAAATATTAGCTCTACTTGTTGTGATCATCAATGATACAACAACAGTTCTCGATCATCATGAAGTTCATTTTACATCAGCACTTAACAATTTTAAAGAGAAACAGAAATTCTATTTTGTTTATCCTCGACCTCATCAATTACGATCAAGTACGTATCGTTATACAGTTCGTTTCGAAGCATATCAATTGAATGAAGATGAAAGCATTGAACTTCTAGCTGTTTGAATCTATCCAGTTCCATTTAATTTTTTGCCATCACAACGTCTCGCTAAAGTGTTAAAATATACTCAACAATCACAACTCGAACCAAACCATACGTGCTTGTCAAAAACTAATCCATGCTTGAATGAAGGCAGGTGTCATCCAATTATGAATAAGTTGAGCGACTTTCATTCATATTGATGTGAATGTGAAAACAGTTCATATGGTTCTCATTGTGAATTCAAAGATCAATCTTGTTTTATCAGTTCAACAAAACTGTGAGTATACCATTATATTGTGCTTATGTTTTATTTCTTCCTCTTCCTATGAAACAATAACTTATTGTAGCAACTATTGTTCTCCTACGTCTTTGTGCCGTCCGCAATATGATCATTATGGACAGAAGCCATTGTGCATATGTTCAATGAATTCATAT